ACCCTTTCCTTTCAAAAATGTAGCGTTCTTCACATCAACTCTAAAGGATTCGATCTTCCTAAGTTTTTTATGAATGGTAATTTAATCAATAGAGTCTCACACATCTCCGATCTTGGAATAATCATGGATGAAATTCTCGATTTCGATCTTCACTGCAGAATCGTAGTAAATAAATCCTCAAGGATACTAAATTTTATTCTTCGTTCGTTTAAGAACAAAACTGAAAGTTTTCTTATCAAATTGTACAAAGCATTCGTTCGGCCTCTTCTTGACTACAATAAAACATGTTACTCCCCTAGACATCGCAAAACACGTAAAATAATTCAGGTAAACAGGTAAATATTGAAGGACTCCAAAAATATTTTCTACGATGCCTCTCTCCTAATAAAAATTATAATTTTAATTATAAAAGAACACTTCTACAACATAACATGGATTCTCTCTCAGTTCGTAGAATTAAACAAAATTTAATTTACACATATAAGATTATGTTAAACTAGATTGCTCGAAATATTATAACTTTAGATTAAATTTGAATCCAACAAGAACTAATGGCTTAAAATTACTAAAACCTATATGCAAAACTAAACTAATGACTTTTTTATTCGTACTATTAACTACTGGAACAAACTACCGAACGATGTAGCTTGTGCGTTATCCTTAGCTGTCTTTAAAAAAAGACTAGATAATATCATTTACGATATTATTTTTAAAAAAAAAAGAGAGAAGAGTTTACACCAGGCAAGAACTGCAGAAAGTGAGAAATCTCGATTTTATCTTCAGGTTATATATGTTACTTCGAATTGTACTATATTATATTGATCTGTAATTTCCTTTTTAAATTGTTAATTTTTATCATATTGTTTTATAATTAATTTTGTTTATGTTATACTTTTTTTTTGTGTTTTCCTTTTCTGTTATCTTAATTGTTATTATTAATACAAGCACATGGCGTTGTCGCCCTGCTTGGCTGGTTATCAATAAATAAATAAATAAATAAATGTTGACAAGGCAAGTACTAACAATTAAAGTGGTGCGCAGGTAGAAAAACGGCACCAACAAAATATTCAGATAAGCCTGGGATAAAAAAATATTCAGCTGAACAAGAGTCGCCAAAAAAGCGCTGTAGCTTTAAATACTGGTCTTTTACGTCCTAACAAGAAATGAATAAAATACCGACGAGGCAAAAGCCACAGATAAGAAGAAGACGGACCGACACATCAATTTTTAGCTTTTTGAACTTTCGACTGCTCGGCAACAATGCCTATATGAAATCAAAAAAAGTGATGGTATCAAATAGTTTGGAAATGCTTTGTAGCCAGCGGAGCCAGTAATGGAGTGTGCTTTTAGAATGGCTGATGACTGGTTAATAGGCAATCTTTATTTCTGAATAATCGAAAATCTAATTAAATAAATTTATATGACAAACTGTACAATAGTTTGGATAGTGCTGCCGAAGTAATATAAGCCAAATTAGCATTAAAGAAATTTTTTTTAGGCGAGAAAGCAATCGAGCAAAATAATAATTCACCTGTATTTCTTCATTTCAAAGTAACTCTCTTACTCTCTCAAAAGAATGAACTCTCAAAAGAATAAAATATGTCTGGCCTGCTACGCCAGAATAATAATTCTAACCAGAAATGGTGAGCACTCCTAGAAAAAAAAAGTTGAGGGAGAAAAAGGTAGAATGATAAAAAATAAAGCGACATCGAAAAAGTTTTGCCGTAACATTTTATTCTTTTCAGGTGATTTATTTATGATTGTTGGCTCAGTTGATCATTATGATACGCTGGACCAATTATTGGACAAATTCTTCAATTTAATGTTGATGAAGTGAATAAATTTGGCTCATCTATTCCAATATTTTTCACCAATTAACTTATCCAATTAGTCAATTGTAATGTAATGAGATTTCTATATTTTAATGTGTCTTTTTATTTAACTAAATTCATTTTAATTAGAAATTTGAAAAAAATGGTACAAGAGATCCAGCTGAATCCCAACTCTCTCTCTGGCAAAATATTCTGGTTCAAAAAGTTAGGTTAGTTAAACCAGAAAAGCCAAGTGCATTTAAAAGAAAAAAGGATGCAAAATTTGGTTATTAGTACCAAAATGTAGTATTTACGATTTCACATCGCCCAAAAAGTGAAAAAATTTAGTTGAAAATATCAAATCATGTAAAAAAAAAGTCAGACCTAAATTTTATCATTGATAATTAACTTAGTAGGAAGAACGCTTCTCTTACCTCTGAAGCAATATTTTGAGAAATTTTAGGAAACTTTGGATTTGGGAATTTTGAAATTTTTGGATGAAATAATCATAGCATATATTATTGGATTTTAATATTTAATATACAATTGCAAGAGATAGTGATAGATTTTTAGTTATACCAAGAAACCGCCACCAAAGTTTCTCTTTCGGATATTTTTCAATATTCAGCTGCAGATCGAACAAATATAGATAAGGTTCTTGACTTTTTTATTTCCAACGGTCTCTTACGATTCTGAGCAAACATAAAATTAAATCAGTTACAACTTTTATCCAGTTATTGGCAATAGATTTATCATCTTCCCATTTTTTCCCACTCATCAAATATGTTAAGCCAACCAACATATTTAAGCAAGGAATTATAAGTTTATGTAAAATTTTATATTTTAGGCATTTGGACATTTGTTTACGATAGAGAAATTGCCAAAAATAATGAATCCAAAAATTCATCGTATCTTATGCAACGAATTCTCAGAAGGTATGCTAGAAAAATAGAACTCGATTGGGAGTGCGAAAATAGGAAGTGATAACTTGTAAGTTTATGTTATGCTAATTACTATTTTTATGAGTGTTTCGCAAGCACCAAATATTTTCTCATTTCAAAAATTTGCAATAATTATTAGTTTGCCTTCAAATAATTAATCTTTGCCGCGATTATTAAAATGCAATTTCTTTAATTTATTTATTTTATTTGTTTAAGAGAAAGAAATCATGCAGAAATCTCGATAGTAACTTAATATGCTAAAAAAAGAAAAGCTAAAATTATTGCGGTGCAAACATAGTGAGATTATATTCATATAAAATATTAATAACTAATAAGGATTTTGAGAATTTTAGATCAAATTCGATTGATTGTGCGTCATTGCTGCGGTTAAATCTGCAGTTGCAGTCAAATCCCCTTACTACTCTTCAAGCCAATCAGTCCAAAAATTCAATAGTCAATAAGATCAAATCAAATAAGCTTGATGAGAAAAAATGCTTAATTTCCTAATTATTTCCTAATTCGTTCAAGGTTTTCACTTTTAAAAATTCTTTATTTTAACTAAAATTTATCAACGAATCGATGCTGAAACTTATAACTTAATCTAAATAATTTTCTGATTAGCCAATATTTTCAAAAATAAGAACAGTAACGACATAAAGCCCATTTTCTACTTTTTGTGTGCCAATATTCTAAAATTTGCTCGATGCTTTGCTTCGTACCACTGTGCTGGTTTGTTTACTTACACACTTCTTGCTTATTTATGAAACTATTCATAATTTTTTGCACTTTAAAATAATAAACTGAGGTGCGATACTGTTATATTTTTCCTGTAAATCTAAGTCACTGGCAAATATTTAGTCTGGCGATAAAAGGAAAATATTCATTAAGTACACTTTTCAGTTTTGCACGCAGTTTTGGATGCACTCAGTCAATATGAAAATCGATTATTCACATCTACCACACTTAAAATATATTGTTTCGATTGATTTTCAGATAATGAAACTTTTTCAACTCGTTAAGTACCACTGAAGAAACTCCGAAACTCTTCTTCTCATTCTTATAGCAAATGGAGTTCGAATAACCAATGCGATATGAAACAACCAATAGTAGCCAGGGTAAGTGCTTACCGTTTAGGTAGAAAATTAATGAATTTTTCCCAATGTTAATTGGAAACTGATTTCTTTTACTTTTTTACACCCCGTATTTTATTAAGTTTTTGATGTCTAAACATGTCTAAACGCATTTTTTAACTGCTAATTTTAAATTTACTTCTTAAATATGTTCGATATAATTGCTTTAAAATAATTAATCCTTAAAATAATTATCAATTTAACAGAGACCTATTTAACAGCAATTTATTTAAGACAATCAACGAATTATCTCTTTATTATTGCCTTTAAATGGATTAAGTAAATATGAAGATGCTGAATAATAAATAAATAGGACGTATACAATATACAACAAAAAGCAGTTCCAGATGGCATTTTTAAAGATAAATAAGTCTTCTTTCTATTTTCCAGCTCCAGAAAATGTTGGAGTGTATTGGCACTGACTGTAATCAACAGGAGAGATCATATTAAATGCTTTGGTCATCACATTAATGTAACCTATAATTTACTTAACTTTTCTGTGAAATCAGGTAATTATTAAATAGGAATAGGAATTTTATTCAAATATTTTATTCAAATATTTTCAAAAAATTGGTCAACTTACTATTATCTTCTAAAAATTGCAGTACATTTTTTATGTGCTCTTTTCGGAACCTTTCAGGATCCCTTGCAATAACAAAGACTGGAAACCGGACCCAATTTGATACAATCGCATAATCGTATTGATTATACTCATTCAGTGGTCCTTTCTTGACCACCCAGACTGAAATTATTCATAACAGAAAAGTGTTATTAATTTTGAAATTAGACCCACCACACTATTTATTTAAGATCAAAAAGAATTACATGGTTCAGAGTCTGGCGAGTTGCTACTATGAAGTACGAACTGCCCAGTGTCGCCTGATTTAAAGCCGTAACCCAATGAAAATCGTGGCGGTCCATTCGCATTGCCTTCTCGATAAAATTTAAGAATGGTAAATGTAGCACTATAGGTTGTATTCGTCAATGCTCCAACTGGAATTGATTTTTCTCCAAATTTTTAAGTTTTTCGGTAATAATTGGTTACAGGTGGTAGCGTTTACCGACTCTTCCATCAAATTCTTGTCTTTCATCAACTAGTTTTGATCACTATCCACTCAGCTAACCTGTTCCACGAGGTATGGATTATATGGATTGTAAGATGTGTTAATTGCCTTAAATGTATTAATTTCTATAGTTTTGATAAATTTTTTCTTAAATTTTTTCCCAGTTAATCTGTAGAATGGCAGTTTCACTGAAAGCAGATCGGTTTTTACATTATTGGTGCAATTTTCAAACTTGGAAGTTTTTCGTAGAAAACAAGTTGAACAATTGTTCTTTTAATGAATTTGAAGCCAAAATCTGCCTTAAAATATAAAATATAAAACTTACAATGTGATACTGTACAAGCTTCGTTAATTACATGTGGACTATTAATAACCTGAAAAACAAACATTTTATTCAGCTAACTTGATAAATAATAGGTGGTTTTTGATGTGGTTATAGATGAAAAATTTTAAACATTTTAAATTTTAAATTGTAAATTTTAAAATTTTAAATTTTACAAAGAAACAATTTATAAGTATAGTAAATTTTTAAAGAATTTGAGTTCCATCTGCATATTTTGAGATATTAATCTAACCTGGAACCATCGCCCCATCATTCGTGCGACATCGACATTTTCTGCTGCGGGATGAATTGCACGAAAAACATCCTTAGCCAAGTTTTTCGCTGAGTCTTTAGGCAAAAGTCGACTAATTGAGGCACCTAATAAAGTATTCGTCGGAGGAATCATTTGTGGAAAAAGTTGCGCCACCTTAATTTGCATTATTTTGTATGCATTTATAGAATACCACTTAGCTGTGCTTCACTTAATTATTTTCAGTATTTTTACTTGGCCCATTAAAACTTGGCTGAATAGACAAACACATTCTCTAAATAGTCGTATTATATATTATTTAATTTCAATTTCATTTTTCATTTAAAATTTTTTTGCGAATTCCATAGTATTCCATACTATATCAAAATATGCGAAAATTTGATAAATGTTTAAAAACATATTGAATGATAATATGATCTGCATTATCATTAAGAAAATCTTATAAAACTTACTAAATAATTGAAGTTTTTAAGCCCAGGAATTGTGTTGACACCAGCTATCGGTTTAATATCTTGAGGTCCTGGAAAGCCCGGTACAGGTATTGGAGCTATTCCAGGAATTTGGCCATTGCTGATATCTTGAAGGTCTATTCTGTTTTCATTTGCTTCATTGATAACTGAATTCAGCTCATCAAGATGATATTCGCTAGAAGGAGATGGTTTATAGCGACGATTTCTGCCATCGGTTGATATGCCCAATCGATATAATATATTATCGGCAACTTCTCCAATCTTTTTCAATTCACTTTTTTGCTAAAATAAGAGGGTGCATCAATGGCCGTTTGTCTTGAAAAGCGAGACAAGGCTATACAAGAAAGAAATTTAACAAAAAATTTGTTCAATTGCTCATAAAAAGTTATCTATATTTGTTAAAAATCATTTCAATAAAATTTTTTTCACAAATAAGACGAAACTTTCAAAGATAAACTTAAAGATTAGCTATTCCTGGATTAGTTAAGACATTTGGACTTACTGAATAAAAGTTTTCATCAATTCTTTCTCTTTTCTCCTCTCTCTCTCTCTCAATGGCTTTAAACTCCAAAAAACATATTTCACATTAAATAAACAAATTATTAATTTTCATTAATATATCTTTATAGAATTCTTTAAAAAAAACATTTACTTCTTTCGTGAGGACAAAGTCTTTGGAGAAAGACTGAAAAGAAGGTGCATTAATGGCCGTTTGTCTTGGAAAACGGTATGAATATATCCGAGAAACAAGCAATAAGGCAGTGAATAACGTTACCACCACCATACTTACGATGATGGAATGAACGAATGCTGATCTAGGTCATCGCACATTTAAGACCGCTCTCCTGACACAGACCCGTACTGTCCATCTTTTTAGGTCATCTCAAATAGAAGTAAAATTAGGAGCTTTAAGAATGCAGATTGAAATTTTAAGCCATTCACTTTGTATCATTTCTTTTCGCTCAATGTGGGAACTTTCAACAGTTTACTAAAGATACAATTTATATTTAAATCAATTCAAATAAAAGATTAAGTAAATTCAGAATGTAAAAGTTTCAAGATGAAATATTGATACATTCTTTTTTAGCCCACGCCATTACCGACTGAACTTATTGCAAAGGTAACGTTCACCTCATATACTACTCAAAACCGAAAATAGATAGGCCCTAAAGCTATTCATTTGCTTCATTTTGAATTGGTTAAACAACCGATCAACCGATTTTTCATATGACATTAGGTAACATAACAGAAATGTTCTGAAGTTTAATTACTAACATTTTTGCACAATTTTTAATAATCAATATTCAAACAATATTTTTCAATGAATTCCTATTAATTTACAAATTTTTTAGAAATTTTCTGTCTATTTAATTTGTTAAATAATTTAATAATTTAATATTTAAAAAAAAAAATAAGGGAATTTATTGGTGAAAATAGTTTTTTCTTTTTTTCCAATTTGCTTCTTTCTAAACAGTTAGTATTTATTCTATGTGAAATTTGGAGATTTTTTGCATTTTACGAAAATTTTTCGAATTTGGCCTCCTCAAATGCAGTCGAAAGATGTTTGCCTTATTCATATGGAATGGAATGAATTGACAAAAATGCACTAAAAAGAAAGAAAAATGTTATTTATGGTTAATAGTGGACAAGCCTATTATCAATATCAATATTTATTGTTTCACTATCATTATTTATTAATATTAAGAATTCCAAATTATTTATAGTTTTTCGCTATTTAAATAATACATCAAATTGCTATATTATATACAAAAATGCACATTATGTCGGCCTGAATACAATTGAATTCAATAATAATACAACAAATTTTAGAATTTTTTCTAGAAATTTGTAGTAATTCGTTTCTCTTTAACATTGAAATAATAAGGAAAAAAATAAAAATATGGAAAAATATTTAAAATAAAAAATAAAATTTATGAGTAAAGTAGAAAATTCGAATTCCTGAATTTCTCTAATATTGCATATACCCAATGAAAATTTCAAATGAAAAAATTATTAAACGTAAATTATTGGAAATAATTAAATAAAATATTTGATTTAGCTAATTAAAAAATCTAATGGTTCGATTGTATTCATATTATGCGATCATTGGTGTAAATAAAAATGATAGAAGAAATATTTTTTTGTCTCAATTATTTATCATGGATCATCGATATCTGCAAATTTATTTAATCCCAGATTTGCCGTAAAATTTTTTTCTGCTATTACAATTCGTTTGAACATTTGAACCAGTTTCATCCACTTAATTTTAAAGTTTCACAATGAAGAGGGGAAAAAAAGCGAAAGAAATAGATGTTAAACAATAATAACATTAAAGTAGAAAGTGAAAAAGAAATTAATTGGATTTATAGGCCAATTCTGGACCGATAGTTTGAAAAAGTCAATTGTAATATTTGTTATCCTTGAATATTGAAAAGTGATGGTGGGAATGAACAAATTGAATTGTCCACAGGAGCAATGATATTAAAAAGTCGAGAAAATCCATTGACGAGACCCATTTCTTCTAATATTTGGTTCACCGTTGTTTCGTGCCGCTAAAAAAACTTCGGAACAATTATAAAAATTTTGAATACTAATATTCATTAATGTTAACATTCCATTAAATTCATTAATATTAAATTCAAAATAAAATATCTTTTAATCAAAAAAATGTTGATATACCAATTAATTTCTGAGATAAAATTCTAGTGAAGTTTTTTCATTTATTTACCAAAAAATTTACCACTTTTTTATTTATAAGCATAAAGTTGAGAAAAGATTAGTTCCTTTTAAAAAAATTAGATAAAAGACCGTTAAAGTCTTAAAAGTATTGAAATTCTGAGAAGCCTAAAATAAAATCTTTTATTGTCCACTGTGATGGTTTCTGATCAAATTGCGACTCACTGATTTTCAAATTTGAATCACAAATAACAATGAAGAAACCAGTATTGTTGACAGACCTGTCTATATACAACGGGATCTCGAGCGAATACGTATATAGGATAATTACAATTTGTTGAAAGGATTGTGAAGCTGTATTCACCATTCGAGTTCAGTGGGCCAACATAAATTACGTGCACTAAATGTATTTAAATAAAAAAATATTTTAATTTAAATAAATAAATATCATTGTTATCGATGTTTAAACTTTTCTAATATGAAATATACGCAAAACATTACATATATTGATTTCAAAAAGTAAATATACGAAAGTTATATCAAGTTTCGCGGAATTAAAGGTGTCATCCCACCGCGAAATCCAAAGAATCCCGAAGAGGAATACTGAATAGCCCTTCTAACTTCATCCTCTTGCATGGCTGATAAGTTTGTAGTAAATTTTCAGTATAGAATGTTTAAATGGGTTATTGCTCGATTGGGAGCCCCGATGCTGAGGTTCGATTCTCCGTAGGAGTAAACCTGTCCAAAAGTCTATGTGGTGTTGACTCACCTGTATTTCTATCACCAAAAAATTCCCTGGCATTTTGCTCAGTGTGATAACCAGTGGAGCGAGTTTAACCAGTAATAGTGAGGACTCTTAAAAAAAAATTTTTTTTCGTAGATAAGAGTTATGCGTGGTTTATTCAAGCGATATCGAATAGGTTCTCGCGGTGGTTTTTCATGCAAAAGTGAAGTTTAATAGTAATGATATCGAGTGCATCTTGATTGGCCAATATTGATATTAATTATTCAGTAATATAAATAATGAATTATTTAATTGCGAACTCCGAAAATTTCGAAAAATGAGCCAACTTCGCGAAAATTTTGAATATGAATATGCCGATTGGCGAAACTATAGATAAAACTATAGATTTAGCTGTATGTTCAATGCAATTTTGAACAGTAAATATTAATATTCATGAAATGGCAGTATTGTTGAGTGACATTGCTTCGATTGAGGTCAAATCATTACTTTTTTCAATTCCAATTCATTAAAAGTGAAAATTGAAGTGGAATGAGCCGAATGTTGTTAGAGGAAAAAAGAATTAACAAAAAAAAAGTTTAATGGCTCAAAAATTTAGGATTTAATATTTTCACTACAGTAGGAATCCAATTGAAATAATCCTTTACTTTTCTATTTATTAAAAAGGTGTCCAGATAAATGATGAAATATGTTTTACCATTAACATCATCTTGATTACTCGTTGTTCTGTATATTAATTCCCCTGACTGCTTTAATATAGCATATCCAGAGCTGATTCGTGGCTTAACATAAGGTGTTCCATCACTAGTATATTCGAATATCTCGAAAATTGTACCAGCTCCACCATTGTTGACATCAGCCAGCTTTTTATAAGCTACCATGCTACATGGACCAGATGCAAGCGGCGGACTATACATCACCTATAACATTTTTGGTACTATCCTGTGTTTATGAAGGAAATAATAAATTTCGCTGAGAATGCTGAATGCTGCCTTTTTCTTTTTTTAATATCAGTATATTAATTTCAAAAAAAGAAAAACCTGATGAAAAAGAAAATTTGAAAGTGGAGAATTTGAAAAATTGACCTGGTACCACTGACCCATAAATGCATCAATATTAAAGTCTGAAACTGGAATAGGCTTTGGATTGCATAGTGGAGAGGAAGGTTGTGTAATAAGACTTTGGATCATTTCAAGATTTTCTCCAATTGCAGCTTTCTGCGCAGACGTCAATTCAATAGGACGAGAGAAATTGAATGTCAGTTCATCTGTATCATTACCCTAAAATATTTTCAGCACCATTTCAGAAAAAAAATGAATCAGATAAATTTAAGTTATGTTGATCATTATTTTCGCTTAAATTGGAATATTAGCAGAGGTAACGGGTTGTTGAAAGTTATCCAAACCAGAATCATTGTAATGCACCACAATTTTTTATTAGAAATATTGAAATATTATTCTTGGTGATAGATATGTCTCTAGCAGCACATGAAATTTTTTATAAATTTTATTTTAAAATTTTTTTCCTAAAGAACTGAACCAATGATACTCGAATCCTTCTCTAGCTTTCAAAAAAAGACTTATTAGCGCGATCAGTGGAATTGAATGAATGGCTCAGTAGGTTGGTGAGTTTGGAGTGCCAATGCCTTTCGCAAGCTTGTCAAACTTGTCCAAAAATCTGGATGATGCTAGCGATTTATCTGTACTTCTATCACCAAGAGACTCATTTATTTTCTACGATAAGCTAGCTGAGCGAGTCTAACCAGTAATAGGGGCTCTTTAAATGAAATCTAATAAGTGAAATTATTTACTGCAGGCATTGGTAGGATTTGCAATAATATCTATTTAAATTAAATTTTAAAAAGGTTGCTTTTATTTTTCAAATGATTACATTATAAAATAAAGGTAATGGGATATTTTTCTTTTAAATTTGTTGGAAAGAGTTCTAAAAGAATTGAATTCAATGATGGTCGTTTGTTGTATATTTTTTATATTTTTTTAGTATTTTTAGCCTTGTTTTTCATATTTTTATTTATATTCTTTTGCTTTAGCCAGCTCTGCTTGATTATTATTAATAAATATATTAAATATGTACGAATGCAGCAATGATACTAAAATTTATACCTGCACCGAGCCACTTGTCAGAGCCTTATAAAGGACATTGGATATCATATCCTTCGCTGGTATCGGACTGTTATTACTGCCGATCAAATTTCCGACTGCTTTGCCTAAATTGGCAGCATCATTCTTTTCAGTTTCTTTATTTCCATTTAATCCAATCAGATTAATTATTGTTCCGATCAAACCTCCAGATGATGAATCTTCGTCTGTCAATGCACCATACTAAATGATTTTATCAAAGTAAATATTCTCCACAGTGAAAATAAAGGCAAAAAAATTAAACAACTAACTTCACTCTCCGGCGTCACAAAATCATCGCCAAGATAATTTGAAGGCGCACGTCTTACACCATCCGGCGCAAATCCTCCTTCAGGTACTTCTGGCCGAGATTTGATAAAAGGTACTCCAGGAATCTAAACTTTTTTCTTTAAATCGAATTAATCGAATTAATTAACTTAATCGAATTATGCCCTTTTTCGGACTATATTATATTATTTTTATTTTGAAACCACTTGAAAAATAAATATAACTCTTATAAAATAAAACCACCTTATCAGCAATGAGATGCGAAAATTGTGGATTTCTCAAAGCAACAGGTGGCTTTGATAAATCTGGATATACGTTAGGAATACCTCGAATCGACGATGAAGGATCTCTGTTATCCTGCAATGGAAGAAACAATCCTTCAAAAGTCACAAAATAAGATCATTAGCTAGGAAATTAGCAAATGTCCTAAATAATTATATTATTAAAAAAATTGATAATGAATCTAAAATTAAGAAAATGAATTTGGTTCCATAATTCAAAAAATTGCCAAAAAAGAATTTTCTACTACTAGCAATCAATGAGTGATTGTTATGATAAATGACAAAAGGGATTTTGAATAAAGTGAAACTTTTAATTTTTTTTAAATAGTTTTACTACAACCTATGCCAGAAGCCTTGCTAAAATTCATGAAAACTTTTCCCTTATCTATAAATATTTTATAAAATAGAATAATCTGAAAATATAATAGTATAATAGTATATACAAAAGTATAAAAAAATAATATAAAATATAATACAAAAAGTTTTCCTCCAAAAAGATTTAAACTAAATAATAGCGATATAAACCAATTTTAAATTCTGATGTAAGAATTTTCGTAACCACTTTTCGTAAATTTTCGTAAATTTTTGGGAAATTCAGAATTCCCACTTTTTCATCATTTTTCCCAGACATTCATAAAATTTACTATTCTGAGCATAAGCTTTAGAATTTTTAGAGCATAAGTTTTAGAGGATTTAAAAATATTCTGAAGATAATGCTAAGTTTTTCGTTAACTGATAATCGAAAATCTGAATAATTGCTTTATACGCGATCGAGCACAGATATTAAGTGTTTATGGGAGATTTTTATTGATGTATTTCATCAATTTTAGCAATGCTATGGTTGGTAGAAAATTGTTATATTGTTTATAGTTTATATTGTTTAAAATATTATATAAAAAATAGTTTAATTAGAAAAAAATTTTGATTAAATAAATTACTTTCTTTTTCCAATCCTTTCTATTTAATTTCATTTTTTATCCCTTTTTTTAAAGAACGCTCACCATTTAATTCTTAATAATAGAACTCACTACGATGGCTTTGCAGAACCAAATTTTGTCCAGGGTTTAGTTGGTGATAGAAGTACAGGTGGGTCAGTAGCATCATAAGGATTTTTGAAAGAGAAGTTTAATCCTAATGGAAGTAGAATCACAGCATCTGAGCACAGAAATGAGAACAACCCACTGAGTCAGTTTATCCCTTTTCAGATAATTATTCATTTAATAACAAAGTAGTAAATAAAATTCATCTGAAATTTTTAATTCATAAAAACGATTCCCTTTTATTAAATTAATATCGCTCCGTGTTGACTTCTTTTTAGCATTTGTCATTATGTGAAAGTTAGCGATAAATAGTCATGCAAAAATGGTTTGATAAGAAAAATAGTTAAAATCTTTTTTACTTTGAAAATTTTTTTATTCAAAGAATTTAAGATTTCTCAATTCTCAAAGACTTATTCAGACAGTTGCCAGGATTTGAAAAAAAAAACACCACATTCTCTAATATTTTATTGAACATATCTTAATATTACATTTGTAGAAGCAGAAATTAGGGCACAAATTAGGATGCAAATCGACAAAATTACATACCGTTGATTTTTTGCTGGATGAATATGAAGAAAGTATATCTTCACTGCCTCTGGATAAGGAAAATCCTTGATTAAAGCCAGGAGGTAAGCGCGCAGAATCTGAACCAGTCAGGAAATGTTCAAGAGTGCGCTCAACCTCGCTTAAAGGATTACTAGTTTGTGTTTGAACGAGATTCTTTGTTGAGCTACGTCCGATTTCGTAACTTTTTGGTGGAAAAAAACCTCCTGGCCTAGGACCAATGACACTATCGACTAAACCAAGAGCATGATCGTCGAGTTCAAAATATTTTTTCAATTCAGGTGGTACGGTTGGTTTTGCAGCAAAACGTTGAGCATGAGGAAGGTTAAAAACACCAAGCTGAGCGAAACATGCCCGTAATAATAAGAAACATAGAATTTTCGTCAGGTGTGCCATAAGAATCAACTGATGGTTAGTCGATCGTGTGTTTTACGACGATATGTTATAGACGGAATCACACTATGAAAATCAGTGCCACTGGGCCAATGGCCTTTGTGACACTTAAATTAAATCGCGAAAGAACATTATATGAATATATAGGTGAAAAATGTGTGAGTAATAAAGGTTAATGGCCTTGGACTAATTTCTGAAGCACCATCTGCGGATTTTTAAGCATTTCAGCGATACCGGCGCTACCTTTTCCACCTGCGTTCTTACGTAATTCTGAATCTCGTTCATTCTTTGATCGCTGAGCGATTTCTTGATTTTTCAATACCCTAAAAATATTACAACTGCGCAAAAAAATTTAAAATAAATGACTCGTCATTTAGTAAATTAACTTTTCATTTGCTTTATATTGAATTCGATGCAATAGACTTTTTCTGCATAATTCTCACGAAAAATTTAGGTCTATAATCCTCACTTTGGCGAAAAATTTAAATTTAAGTCCGATCTTTTAATAGTGAAGATTTACCTTCGTGCAAACACTTCTTTCTCTGATGGCCATTCACAGTCGGAGCCTTGATAAATTGGTCGAGGTGTATTCCAGAATATTTTCCCTCCAAATCCAGCCTTCTCTAAATATTCCACAACCTCTTTGTTGAAATTCTGCAAAAAATTTTCGATGTCGCTGTAAATATAGTAATAAAAATTTAAAAAATTAACCTAAGTATTTCTTTCTCCGATGTGAATTGATCAAGAAAAGATTTTCAAAAAAATAAATAAAAAATAAAAAAATAGAAATAAGGAATAGATAAACCTGAAAGAATTTCATGGGGTCTCTTGCGTAGACCATTAATGATAATCGACTAGCATCAGTAACAACCATATAATCATAGATGCTCGATGAGTTTACCGAACTACTATCATTACTATAATTTGGCCCGACTTTGATTATATAAACTGCAAGAAACCAATTTTCTATGAATAAAAATTGGGCAACTTAATATCAATAAAGTTTTGTTACGATTTACGCCAGTTTTATTTTTGATAAGCAATACTCGAAATTACTTGAAATGAAATTCTCTTTCATTTAAATGAACGATATTAAACGATATACGAAAGAATTAAATGAACGATATTTAACGACAAATTTATGAATGTCCGATTATCATTTAATGAATATTGAATTTTTGAAAAATTGAATACGCAATATAAAATATTATGAAATAAGCCTACATTGCCTCGGATAGAAATATTCTTCTGTGTACATCCAGTATTGGCCTGGCCCAACTTTGTTTAGATCCTTCTTATACGTTTCGACAGGCCCATTTTTCGATATAACGCGATAGGCTTCTTCAATAGAAAATCCATCTTCGCCCATAACGACGTTTGGTCGAACTGAACTTATAATAATGAGATAGTTCTTAAATTAAAAAGGTAATTATCGAAACAAGTTGCCGAAACCGAAGTTGTAAAGTTATAAAGCTGTAAGGCCTAAAAAACGCGAAAAATGCCGTAAATAAGAGAAAATGTTTTGCGAACCAGATAAGTCCTAATGGTTAAGGACCATATCTCAAATTTTTTTATCAAAATTGACCAAAAATTTCCTCACAAGTTATTCTCCAGATCGGGATTTCGAATTATTGTTAAATTTTCATTGAAAAAAAAAACATGAACAACAGAAATGCCTTAAAAAGTGCTACAATGATGAGTATTTTCACTGTCATAAGAGTTTTTTTGTTAGTCATCATGAAGAGACATGTACCACGATTTCCATCAAGATTGAATACTCCGCAATAAACGGTTAAATGGGCAAAAAAAAGTTGGTAAAGAAAAAAGGCGCTTACAATAAGCAACGGGACAAAACATTTCGGTTCTATAAACATCGAAGTTTACTGCAGCTTTATACATCTAAAATTGCACAAATTTTTAGTCCAATGTAATTCATACTCCTGGAAAAAATGAAAAATCTATGACCTGAAACCATCGACCCATTATTGTTGATGCAGGGACTTCGATAGTTTCAACATTATTTTGAATCATATTGCTGATCCCTCCAATAATGCCCGTAATTGTATTAAAATCCATCTAAAATAATTTTTAATTAAGAATTTGGTCTGAATTTCTTTTGGTAGCCAATATTGCAGTTGTAGCCTCATGGCCTTGTTTTCATCAATTGCCTAATAAATGAAAAACATTGAACATTGATGTAAATAATATATATTTGATATAAAAGTTGATTAAACAAATCAATCATCTTATTTGAATCATGGCTATGGATTATGAAAAAAAACCTCCTATTCAACAAATTTGGTGATTTACTGCAAAATTTAGGAGAAAATTTGCGAAACGAGCTTCAGAAAACCATAAATTTTCTCAATATTAATTAAATTAATTTTTCTGTCGAAGTTTTTATGAAAGAATTGAAATAAAATTCTAAGAATAGGAAATGTAATAATGTCGAATCAATTGTAATAATGTTGTATCTTTTAATTAACAATTTGGTATGAATTTCTTTGTCAACGTTCATTATCGAAGAGAGTTCCATTAGAAATATAACTTAGTTTTTCTGCTTCTGCCTTTTGTAAGAGAAAGCCTTAAAAAATCCAAGTGGTGCTGGCGATTCACTGTACTTCCATTGCGAAATGACAGAAATTCGCATCGTACATAAACAAGCCGAGCTAGCGTAACCAGAAATGGTGTGTGCTAACCACTAACTTGTTCGTTTATTCGTTTAATATTACTTGATTAAAACATAGAAAATATCGTTTAGAGAAGATGTAAAGGAAAGGGCGTTATTTATGGCTCAAAAGATGTCGAACGGTTTGCAAGTAAGTTTTATTATTCATTATTCCATGTTACAAGCCGAAACAATTTTTGTGCAAAGCAATTGAAACTCGCGAGTAATTGTGAGGAATATTTAAAGAATTAGTTAAAATACTGCGTTAAAGATTTTTTAATTTTTTTAATTTTTTAATTAATTTTTAAATTTCAATTTTTGCTTAATTTTTTTAAAAAAAAGTTACCGAATTTTCTCCGATGGAATGAACGCATGAAATACTGAAAATAAAAAGCAAAATGCTGAGTTGCATCATCAAATATCAGACTTACAAAATGAGCAACTCTCGTTGAAATGATCGGTTGTTGAACCTGGCCACCACAGATTCCGCTCTTTTCATTTCATCCACAAAATAGGACCTTGAAATTTTGACCCATTTTAATTTTTAGACCAAATTCACATGTCGCATCAAACGAAGATACTTTGCGAATTCTGCATTCTTTTGGAAAGATGATTGGTGTTTATTAATTTTATTAAACCAGTCTGTAATTTAAAAATTTAATTTAGTATTTGATAAGTCTAATAAATCTAATAAACTTAAAAAGGTTAAATAAACTGAATTTTATTTATAATTTCGAAAAATACGCTGCAAGTTTCTTTTTTTCATATCTCTCTCGTTCAGAATATTTAAAATGGAAGTAAAGAAAAAAAGAGAGAAAAAGGGAGAAGAAAAAGCACTCGAATTTCAGTTATCACTGTAGTTTCCTCTTTCCTATAGAGATTATTTTGCCGAATGCATTTTTTTAATGAATAAGATAGTTAACTTTCAAGTCCTAAGGCAGTTCTCATTTCTAACATTAAAATAATAAAATATGAGGAAATTGATGGATGGATTCGAACCAACTTACTGGTTTTTCATATGTGAATTAACTAGTTCGAGTTCTAATTTATCTAATTATAGTTCGAAAATCATTTAGTATGAATAAATTCTTTCATTCAGTTCTCTTTACTTAACTTGCAGAAAATAGATTTTAATAAGACTTATGCAAAATTTTTTTGCAATCATTCATTTTCAAAAAAATATAAGAAAATATAAGAAAAATAATATTTTATTCGATTGTAGCGAGAAAAGCATCACTGTAAAGGCCCGATTTTCCGATCCTAGCAGAAGTTTGTCGTTACAAAATCCAGTTAACGCTAATGACATACCTCCATTTTTATTGCCAAGTGACTCCCTGGTAAAATGCCCTAATACAATAAAACCAGCGGAGATAGTTTAATTGGACTTTTTTAAAATTTTAAAATTTTAACTTTTATAAAATTCGGAGCGATTTGACAAAAATGACATTTGATATTGCTAATTTGAAATGCACAGCTTTACTTAAATTTTTGGAAGAAATGTATAACTCAAAAAACTGAATTTATATGAATGAATAGAAAACTGGAAAACTGGAAAATAAATAGCTTCAAGTACAAAATACAAAAGATGAGTATTCAATCGAAATTTTGCAGAACCTTTATAAAAATATGAATTGATAAAACTATATTTCTGCTGCACGAATATAAATGACAATTTGACAGGAGATAATTGAACTTAGCATATGATTACGTCACTCGTTTACTGGGTCCGAAAACTTCAAAAGTACTATCAGCATATTGACAGGAATTATAGTTTGCTGGCTGAAGCATATTGAATGCACGCACGAATCCATTTATGAAACCCTGATCTTCCAACCACCTTAAAACTTCCTTTTCGTATTTAACTCTGAAACGATCTGGATCGCGAACCAATACCGTTACTGGATATTTCACCCAATTTGATACTATTGCATATTCATACTGCGGATTGCCAAAGGGATCTTTCCCTTCTGATCCAAGGTGATAAATCCAGACTGAAAAATTTCATCATATAGGTGATTAAGAACCAAGAAATAGTTTGGTAAGTCAATTTTCATTAACTGAAAGAAAATTAAGCTCAGTTGCATTCAGTTCAACTGTATCGATTATTTCTCGCAGAAAGAAGTACTAACATATTTCTTATTAGCATATTACTATTAGTTAGCCTATTACTAACATGGTTGGGCATCAGATGTTTCTGATGAGTGAAGCTGTAGCATCGCATCTTTGTTTCCTCCACGGAAGGCATATCCAATTGAATATCGCACAGGACCGAATTCACTTCCTTCGCGATAAATTTTTAATGCAGTGAAAGTAGCTGTTCTATCATTCTTTGTTAAGCCACCATCTGCAAAGAACATAGTATGCTGCCTGAATTTCGCTCGATCCCTATTTCTTTAAATTATGAATATTCTTTTCAAATACAAAATAAAGGCTTGAAATAAAACTTTTCTCTCTCCCCCCGTGGGTGGTCATGACCCTCCCTCAACCTCGAGTAATAGTGCTCTTTTGGATAGAGAACTCTGAGATCTCTGCTAGAAATATTTTTCAAGTTTAGGGTTCCAAGTGTTTCAATTAGCACTGGGATTATTTTGGGAATAAATAATCTAATACATATGTAAAATTTCCGTAAGATAAAATAGATTTTGATAAAAAAGGCCTTTTTTAAATTTAAATTGGATTATAGTGGAAGAAAATTTTAATTTTGCATTTAACCTTAAATCTGCCTAAAGTTTTTATCGAAATTTTGTTGAAATTTGTGAAAAAATTAATTTTTAAATTAATTCGAAGCTGACTTAGTAAATCAAATTGATAGGCTCACCTACTTACATTATTTATATGAGAGGGAAAAAAATTATCATTATTATTATAATTTTTCTGACTGTAAAATACTATAAATCTCATTTTAGATTAATTTGGATTATTGTTTTGACCATATTTTTAAAGATAAAAAATTTTAGCGAAAAATTCCAACGAAATTTTTCAACGGAACTTGGAAAAAAATAGGAAAATACTATAAACAGGAAAAGTGAGAAATTAGAAAAATGTTGAAATTTACAGTGATGCACAACACATCTTTGTTCTGTTGCTCGAGGACTATTAATTCCTTCGAACCAACGACCCATAAATTTCGTTAAATCGAAGTTTTCAGGTGTAGAAGGAAGTAAAGCATCAGTAACGTTATCAGCCAGTGTTTGCAACTGCTCCGGTGGGATAATATCAGCCAAGGTAGTTCCATTTGAGATTCGTCGAGTTATTGAACCTTAAATACAGTATGAGATATGTTTATTTGCATTCTGATTAAATGATCCAATTACCTATAAGCTGAACAACGTCGATCTGGCCATGTTCGTTCCTAGGTATACCACCTGGTAAAAGTGGCAAACCGGGGATTCGTGGAAGACCAGCATGTTTTGGACCGCCACTCCCGAGAGCTGCAGCCACGCCTGATAATACCTTTTGCGCAGCACTTTGCTGACGACGCACTCCATTCCCTGACGAATATCTGTTTGAAATATCGGCCGCAGCTGAATCATGAGAGCTAGCAATAGCCGAGTCAGAGGATGTTCCGAGAACACTTGGAATGCCTTGCGATAAAGCATCAGCTACTCCAGCTATAATACAAATTTTAATTATCTAATTTTTATCTAATTTGCACTTGCATATCATTGAGATTCGTAATCTAAGAATAGTACGAACTATCTTGAACCAATTTCCTGAATGAGCTCGAGAGAAAACCAATAAGACCATTTTTTCCTGGATTGTCATCCGGCAATTTCAAATCACTTGTTCCGCGATAATTCGTCGACGCTACTTCATTTTGAATTTGATTTACCTGATTTCCAAACACAGAATTCGGTTGAACTGAAATATTTCAACAATACCTCACCAATTTAGCGATGATTGGTGATCTTCATAATTCATTTTAATTTTTTTCTCGACATCACTTTTAATCTAATGTGTATTGATTGAACAATTATTTAAAACAGGTCATTTCAATTTCAACTATCAATCAAGAATTTTATTTCTTAGGCCATTTTTCCATAGGAAATTAATATCTCCAAAAAAACTAACCATTCAGATCATTCGTTTGCTTATTACTCGTGCTACTAGTGATATGTTCAAAAGGAAGTCCTTGTATAGGTATGCCAGCAGCTTTTAGTTCCTTAAATGGAATAAAAATAGCAAATGAACTCTTCAAATATATACCACATAACGATTTTAATCAACAATAATTTCAAAGGCTTTTCCCTATCCCTATCCCTTTATCTGCCATTTGTTACTCTCATGCGTAATGTTTTTCACTTATTATTTTGAAATCCGATCCAAGGATAAATATAACCTCAATTGCTCCAGCGAAGCCATTTGGATGATTTCCAGTCAGTCCAGGTATACCAAAACTGTCAAGACCAAAAAATTTTATGAGTTGATTTTGTACATCAGGTGGTATACTGATAGGTGGAGGCGGTGGTATAGTACTCATCTCTCTTGCAACGAATGCTTCAATATTGCTGGAAGCCTGTACTGAATCAAAATTTTAATGAATAATAAAAAAATTTGTGAAAATTGTATTTAAAAATTGATTTTCAAATACAATTTTTGATCAATTTTTGAATTTGTATTTTAACCTATCTTAATTGTTAGCAAATTTTTAATTTTAAAGATTAAATTTAAATTTGTAAGCGAGAAATTTGTATTGAAAACTAATAATCGGACCAGGATAGAATGGCTCAATGGGTTATTGCTCAAATGGGAGTGCCGATGCCGAGGCTCCCGCAGGAGTAAACCTACAAAAATCAGGGTGAGCTGGCGATTCACTTGTACTTCTATCGTCAAGGGACTCTCTACCATATTGCCCAATGCGACAGACAAGTGAAGCGAGTTTAAACAGTAATGGTGAGGACTCTTAAAAAAAAAATAACCGGACCGGCATAATAATTGGTTGCTGAGCTTCAGGTGGCGATGGCGCTACTGAAGCCAATAGTTTCTGTTTGAAATCGCTCGTAAGACCCGGTGAATCAACGATTCGTGGTGGCGACATTTCCTTTACAAAATTGGGTGGATGCAGCTGTGGTTGTAGCCTAATCACTATTGGCGTATCACTTAATTCAGTCTTTATGCCTAAAATATCCACCGCCAACAAGCAAATCACTAGCAACATGCTGAAACAAATCAAGTTTTTATTTTTTGGTGCAGTTTCAAAACTTTTTCATGAAATGTTTAAAGATATATTTTAAAATTCAGGTCTGTTGCCATAATTTCAACATATTTCAATATATTCCCTATGAAAAGATCTAAAAATAATAAAAATTCATCATGAAAAGCAATGTCATCAGAAACGAATTTAAATTTTTTGATAATTTAATATAATTAATCTAAAATAATTTGTTGCTGGACCGAGTAGCTGGAGACGCCTTACCCTTATAGCCAGCGGAGCCAGCCTAACCAATAATGGTGAGTAATAGTTAGAACAAGAAGAAAGACCACAGACTTCGTTAAAATTTGATAACTGTGGTATATTTACAAATTATATTTTTAAAATTTGGGTTATTTTTTACCTTATCAACTTTTGCCGTCAGGCATATTAGAAGCTGCAGCTTATTAATCCTAAGTTGCAATAAATTACACCATTATTTCTAAACTAGTTGTAATAATTTATAATCTATAAAATTGAGGACAATTGAATCTTCTTCAGCCTTATATTTCTTTTCACGCTATATTGTTAAGCCTCATATATTTTAGCTTTTAGTAGCGGAACATAACAAAGGTTTATTAAAATGTTCATTATTTCCACCATAAAATAGAAGACATTATTTTTAGATAGATTGTTAGGTTTAGAGAAATTCAGTCACAAGCGCAAGTCAAAAACGCTATCCTGGACAGCTTTCTCGAAGGATTTTCGAATTTTGGGCAAATTTTGCTTGCTTTTTCCGTAATTCCATCTACTCAATGAACTTCTACATAATTTTCTTCACACCTGAAAGCATCCATTCCGCTAAATTACTGACTGCCTTTCCGAATAAAGCGCAAAGATATTTCGCCTTCTCCTTTGCCAAATTCGCTGATTCGATTGGAATGAAATGGATAATTACTCTAATAACCTTCCAATTTCAAATGAAAGGTCAGTTAATTGGTAGTAATTCTTTATTTATAAAAAAAGAATTTTGAATTACCACATTTGAAACTATTATTTGGAGCGCAAAAATGTAGCTAATTAATAGTAAATGAATAATAATTTTGGCTCATCAAACGAGTTTTTACAAAAAAATATTGCGAAAAAATTTAAATTTTTTCTAAATATATTTTATATATCTAAATATATATTTTTTAAATATTTTTTAAATTAACATCAATTTTCAAGAAAAAAGCCTCAAAAATTAAAAAATTTACTTCGCTACTTATATTTTATTAGCAAATGGCTTTATTTTTTACAGAATGGCTTCAATGATTATTTAAAAAAAAGATTTATTAGCTAATTTTTATCGAAATATGGAACTTCAAATATGTATTTTAAAAACAAATCAATAATTGCGAAAAACTCATAAAACAATCGACATTTAAAGGAAAATCGTATCAGCTGAACAAGAAATTATATAGCCCTTTGACTAAAAATTCAGTGAGCGTATATCAAAATTTGAAGTATAGTAGGTCAAGGTTGATATGTCATTGAACCACTTTCGTTTCGAAATTTCGGTTTAACCCATTTGTAATGAAATCAAATTATTTGACCTTTGCAGAGCACAAAACAAAGCTCGTATGCTCAACAAAAATATCATAGCAAAAATACTTTTTCCACCTTTTAATTACACAAATTACTTTATAACTGCAATATTTAATCATTCAATATATAACCAACCAACGTGGACCAAACATTAATGGTACCATTCTTCTTCTTCTAACAGCTTTCACCATTACTGGTTACGCTGGCTCCAATGGCTATAAGGAGGGCAAGACGCTTCCAAGCGGCGCAGTCTGATGCCATCGTCGACAGCAATAAAAGCCATTCCTTTTTCCATCGTATATTGCTGATCTATATGTTCAAATGTTTTCTAACCGTATCAGTCCAGGTCTTGATTGGTCTACCTCGCTTTTGACGACAAACATCACACGGTTTAGCAAATAACGAAATATGGGTCAACTTCTTTAGTGGACGACGGAGAACGTGCCCTAAGCAATGAAAGCGACGCTCTGTGAAAACAATCAATGGAAGTGGTATTTGAACGAAGGTGGATGCGACCATGTGATATCCGCTCGACGGATGCGTCCACTCTATATACTTTAAACAAGAGTGGTAAAGGGCAGATAATTTCGTAATATCCTCCACTCTCATTGGCCATATTTCAGAACCATATAGCAAGATCGAACGAATCACGGCTATATAGATGCGGACATTCGTTTTTATGGTGTTTTCACGACGATTCCATAAAGGTTTCGTCAACCTGAAGAACGCATTTCTAGATGCCGTGATCAGAGTTATAATATCATCTTTTGCCTGTCCATTTGGTATTAGAGTGGACCCATGATATTTAAAATCAAGCATTCCCTCAATAAATTTACAAAAAGAGGCATTTTATCAGCTTCTTGCACATAAGATGAAAAGGCCTTCGTTTTGTTTATATTGACGCTGAGTCCGATTCTAGCTGCAGTCGTTATTTAGCATTACTTGCACAACTATCGTCATAACTATCAGCAAAAAGGACTACATCATCAGCGTATTCAAGATCTGTGATACGATGCTCTGGACTAATTCGAATATCTCTTGAGTGCCGACAAGCAGTGTCCATTATCCAGTCTACATAATTGAATATTGTGAGGAAAAGGACACAGCTCTGACGGACATCTTAGTTCTTATTTCGTAGGAATCTTCCCATATACACAGACCTGCGCCGACGTGCGCTTATAAAATGCCTTTATGAGCCTAATGATTTTCTCTGGAACACCGTCACGTCACATTCCATCACCCTCCAAAGCGCCGCTCTATCAATTGAATCAAAGGTAGTCGCAAAGTCAATGAAACACGTGACAGTGGGTTGGAAATATTTGAAGCGATGTTCCATGTCTCTTCTTAACGTAAATATCTGGTCAGCACAATCGCATCCTGGTCTGAAAGCAGCTTGATTAGGGTGCATCCTGCTGTCGCGTAAGTCTGTTGAGTAGAAGGGAAGCAAAAATTTTTGCTCAACAGACTTAATGGTACCATTAATCAACATCAAATTTAAATGAAGGCCTTTGCAATCATGTGGAATTTTATCCGCTCGGAAAAACTAGTAAAAACTGTCATTCAAATGGCAATGGGCAATGGCGTTTTTATTTTTTTAGAAATGATTTGGTAAATTATGATAATTGCTTAGATAATTAGATACTCGCGAAAATGAGAACCCATTCTGTGACCCCGAAATGAAGACTCGTTCTAAACATTCCGATCTGATGTCGTTTATGAATTCATAATAGCTACCGCTTCCCCCATATTCTAAGCCTATCATCCATTTTTTATTCACCTTGCTTTTGGAATCACCCATCATATGGTTTTACATATAACTAGATATGCGTCAATCCTTACAATGCTTGACGAATAATATGTAATCAATGTAGGCCAAGCCTTCCTACCACTAATCAACATCGAATTTGAGTGAAGGCCACTGCAAGCATATGGAATTCTAGTTGCTTGGGAAAAGCTAGTAAGTATTTTAGGTCTGAGCGATCGAAAGTTTTTTAATTTTCACCACAGCTACATTCTGCATCACATCGATGCGGATGTATACAACATTTCACTTTGGTTTTGCTTTTTTCGATAGAAAGAAATTTCTAATAGCAGCTATAAAGACGGGAAATCTTGTGTGCTATTTAGCCATTCGGTTCGGTAACAGTACCAATATTTTTAAAATGATATGCCTCACCACTGGTGCATTCATGAACATAATGTAAACACGCTCTTTTTTTCAGTATCTGAGACATAACCGAGAGTTTTACGTTTTTTGCCTTAAATTGATTTCCGCAGCAATTATTTCACATTTCCCTGATCTAATTTTCCAATACCTTGTAATTTTTCAATTTCACAACTTTTTCCACAAGCAAATTTATTGTGTCTAACTTGGAATGAAAATTCCGTGAATTCAAAACTTACTCTGTACACTCAGAAATCTTCAAGATTTTCTTTGATCAGTTTATTCAATATGGATTTATTCCTTTTTAAGATAGCACTGAGCATTATTAGTTAAACCCATCTAGTCTATGGACTAGATAAATTTACCAAGAAATTCCTTACCGATAGAAATAATGATAAGACGCCAGCACTGCTGGGCCTAATCTATTCTATAATTAATATCCTCTTAGCTATATATTTTTGCTGCTCTATAAATTCATTTATATTTTCTACTATATAAAGGTTTGTTTTTTGTTCATGAAATAAAAATATTTTATTATTACTCGCGAAGTCATACTGTCATCCATAAACTGTTTCAATAACTAGCAAACAAATCATAATTTTTCACATAATTAGAAAATTAGAAAAGGAGAAAAGTAAGCAAACAAAAAGTAAACAAAAGAATAATTTAAGATGACTTTCAAAAGTGTTCAATGAAAAACTTCAATAAAAGTATACTGATCAAAAGAAGCTAAAAGCTGGATTTAAAATAAGTTTTACATGATAAGCCAGCAAAAAACATAAATATGAGCTAAAAAACGAGGGCTTAAAAGATGGAACCATTATTTATACAGATCATTGACGGCGTTAAGATTCACCTAGTATACAATGACTTGGCACAATCTCTTAGGATTCACCTGGTGATTTGGCACAATCCCTTTGCATGGATTATTCACATGGCTACCTTGGTATTTGAAATATTAATGAATTAAAGATACAAGCTATCTTATACCAGTTAATAATTTAAAAATATGAACAAATATGAATCGGTGCTGGATAAAACTGAGAACAATACCAATTTTTTTTACCAGTTTTTTTCATTGCTAGTTCTTCGTAAAAAAGTTCATTTAAACAGTATATTTTATTTGGATATAAAATATAATATGGGAAATTTTTCATAATCCTATTAACACCTATTATTATAGCAAATAGTATCATAACAACTAAAATTTTAAAAATAGCGTTACGATGCAACAAATTAAGCTGAACAAAAAACTTCAAAATAGCAAATTATGAATTATGACTGAATTCAATTGTGAATAATGATCGCTTTTTCAGTAGTATGACATCCACGAGAGGCCCGACTTTTATTCATATGATCAAGACCAAGCCAAGGAGCAGAAGCAAAACCTGGTGCTAAATTATCCAAATTGTCTTTAAAAAATTATTTTAGATAAAAAATAGATACTGAAATAAGTAACTCGCATATCCCACAAATCTACAATCTAAAAACGAACAAATAACAAATATAAAGTTGAGGCATATATGGAAAATGATAAAAAAAAGCACACCTGTTATATGTTTATGAGCTAATTCATTTAAGTTTACAACGTTTTCTTTCTCCAAATATTTTGTCGCACGATTATTCATAACAATTGTGAATTTATACTGAAAAATTCATAGCATAACAATGACTGTGAGTAGCATACTCCAGGAATTAAAATTTTTATAAATTTTTATAGTTTTTAACATAATAAAACTTAAAATACCTTTTCGAACTCTTTCTCACTAACATCTAATTTTTTCCTAATTCGCTCGCTAACGCATTCGAATGATTCGCCATTAGTTACTTTTATATAAAACGGTACGCCAAACATACGAGCAGGATCCTAAAATAAATGGTGACGTATCAAAGAAAAATAATCTAAAAAGAAAAAGAATCATTGAAAGCAAAACATCATTTAAACAATTTCCAATAACACACTTTATCAAAATGCGCAACAGGCAAAAGATGTTCTCCAGGTTTGATGACAACTTCGTCTTCCGGCACTTCTTCTACTCTAGCCTGAAATTTTCAAAAAACAATAAAATTCTTAATTATTTAAACAAATGTTGAAACAAAATCATTTTACTTAATTCTTCTTCTTCTAACAGTTTCACCATTATTGATTAGGTTGACTTCGCTGCCTACAAGAGTAAGACAACTCCAAGATCCGATCCGATGCCGTCGCTAGTATAAGATCGCTATTTCCCCTATACGTTCAAAATCTTTCCTGACTGTATCAGTTGAGATCTTGACTGGACCTCCACTCTTTTGACGCCAACCATCACAGAGTTTGGTAAATAACGAAATACGCGTCAACTCCTGTGGCGGACGACGGAAAACGTGCCCTAACCTTTCATTTAATTATATTAAACTAATTGGATAATAAAATATATAAAAGATGGCAAAAGTATCCAAAAAAAACCTACTGCATAAGAAGTATTGCCAATTTTCTGATAGACTTCCATTGCAGGTGTATCATTAGAAAAAATTTGATAAACGCGAAGACAATGAGAAACTTGACCCGAATAAACCAACCTAAAATCTATGATTAATATAGTAAAAAATAATCTAGAAAATATTACAAAACCACATCAGAATGAAAAAAATAATATGAGGGAATATATGAGAGAAACAATTAAAATCAAAATTATCGCATTTAAAAAATTTATTATAAGCTTTAAAAAATGAAAAATCATGCCTTAATATTTTAGTTCCGTTGGGAGAAAAGCGAAACTCTCGTTGTGCTTCATTCAAAATAGATTGGACTGTACCATTTCTTTCGGGAAAAACCGTTATTTCCTATTCGTATAAATAATGCATAAAATTGAAAAATAATACTGACAGCAAGAATATCAGGATAAATTGTTGGCAAAAAAAGTCACCCAAATCAAATATTCTCACTTTAAACGATAAATTATATTACATATGGATCACAAGCCAGAAATTTTAAAAAAAGATGTGAGAAAGTCAAACCGTTATTTGCAATTTTTCGTCCATGCATTGCAATCTCATTTTATACCGTCGCTCTAAATCAGACACAGGGATGGGCATTTTTGTATAATATATGCGATATCTTTTTTGCCTTCGAGGATCATGTCTATGATTACCGTTGAGCCCAAGTAAATCTTTTAATGAGTAAACTCGCATTTCATGGTCAGTTATATGATTATTAGTTGGTTTCTCATTATATTGTGTAACCTAAAAAAATTAAATGATCAAATATATTTGGTTATTCAAATTTTCAAGCTTTCAAGTTTTCCTAAATTAATGAACCGAAATCAAAAAGAATGACAAAATAAACTAAAACAAAAATAAATCATTTAAAATAATAAATAAAAATTACCTTCCATAACAATATACGATCTGCTGGGCAATTGATCCCATTAGCTATCCACTGCATCACCTGACTCATTGTCCAAGTCTGAAAACCAATGAATTTCTTGTTATTATGAATGACAAAATATTTTTCGAAGAAAAGCTAAAATGATAAGATACAAAGAATTCAATTATCAAAAGATACTTGACTAATTTCTCCTTGAATAGGTGGATAACGTTCAGCAACTGGAGTGCCAAAGCCGTCCAGATTTTGAATGGCTTCAACCAACAAAGCATTATATTTACTTGTATGATGAATATAGGCATTATTATCTGGACTTGATTTATCGACTCGTTCAACAACCACAATAGCTCCATCGATAGGATCGATCAAACTATGATCATGAGTTATTAAATCATCTGCACAAATTGGTCGAATACGCTCTGGTGCTATTTCCTTCAAATAAATGTAATGAAAATTCAAAATTAATATTTAAAAGCAAAGCTATTTTTTTAATGCAGACAAACCTCATAAAATTTCAATTCTGTATTTGGTGGTAAACCGATTTTTTCAAGTATTCGAGGAATATGCGCTCGCATTGTAGATTTGCAGTTAGCCATTATGTGGCCGCTAAAGAAAGTTTGCCGCTGATCAGCATCATAATACTTCAAAAACAGCATCATATCATCTGAAATATAGTAAAAACATACAGTATTTCACGTTATAGCACTTATTAAATCGCAATTTACCATAATTTAAAAAAATATTTATAAGATTTAATTGATATTTCATAATTTTTTCATTTATATAATTAATTAGTGACGTTATTTCTGCAACATCAATACTTTTAAAGATAAAATGGCAAAAATTATCCACGAAATTATTTAAAATAGTAATAGTATAGTATCGGTTTTCTCCTACTTTTTTCATATTACTAATTTGCTTTATGCATGTTTTATATTTCTATTACATATATATACAACGTTTTGCCTTGCTTTTACATAAATAGAAGTTTAATATAACATAAAATAAATGGGAAAATAAATAATAAAAAATTGATGAAAATGCAAAAAAACCTAAGCTCTCAATTTAAACAAAATTAATGAAAACAAAAAAATTGGAATAAAAATGTGAAATATTAATCAAACGTACGATTATCATCATATGGTTCGAGGGTAGGGATGGGACCTCCCGAATCAGTTGCAATTTCAAGAAAAACAACATTGCGATCAGATTCGAGGGCTGTTTCGAGTTTATTCTGACAACACATCTCCATACTCCGCTTTAATAATGTCGATGGTCGGACACGAGTCATTGAAATAGTTGGATTTCGATCATCTCGAACCGTGTTTTCTTGAACATGCCACAAACGAAATGAATCTTCACTAAGATTCTGCAAATGAAATAAGGAAAATAAATATAAATATTAAATAAATTAAAATAAAATAGAAATAAAAGATAAATCCATTAACTCTTATAATTTGGAAAAATCAAAATATAATAGAGTAGAATAAAAGAGAAAAAAATTTTTTATAGTAAAAATACTCGAAAAGTTTAAAACAAAAATTAAAAAATTTTACTAACAAATTCTAAAGCAAACAGTGCATAAAGTTCATCAAAAGTCATTTTTTTTTCAGCTTTAATACGTCGGGCATCGTCGAGAATTTTTGGATCATAAAGATCAAATCCATTATAGTCGTACATATGTTCCTCCAAAATTACCTTAAAATTTAAAACAAATAAATTAGAAAATATTAAAATTCTCATATATCGATATAGATATCGATTATTTGATCTTATATTTTTATTCCGCTTTTTTTTGGAACATTTTTACAATTTCTATAAATTACGAGCTATGTTTTTTTTCTAATTTTTCTAAATTTAAAAAACAACGAATCTAAAATAAGATATAAACATATATAAAATTTATAATAACAGTGAAAAATTTGAGTGGTTGCTGGAGACAGACCTATAACTCTATCCCAAAAAACTCTATGGTGAAAGGGTCAGATATTCTTGATACGGCGCCGCTTTTTCCAACGCGCACTCCTACCTGGGTGGTACATGCGATAAGTATACAATCCGGGCGTATCTAAAGCGATCCCAAAGTTGATGAATAAAATGTGCTCACAAGCCAGGGTAATTGCTCGAAACCTATCAAGGAGAACAGCGCGGCGAAGTATTAACCGTATTAGCGTGGAACACCAGAACACTTATATTACAAGTCAAGCGATCATTATCCACATTCCTTCTAAATATCGTGTGAATATCGCTTGCTTGTCGGAGGTCCGTCTTCATCATTTCGAATCTCGAGTGATTATTAACCTTGGCTCGAAGCAGAAGTACTGGCTATATCACTGTCGTGCTTCAGATAACTTGGGGCAAAATCGCATAGCGAGTGTCATATCTTTCCATTCTTCAATTGAGTGGAAACCGGTAAGCGACCGTATAGACTACGCCCATTTTAAGGGTAAGTTCTGCAATATTGCTCATCAGTATTTATATGTTCCAATTTTGTCAGCAGATGATCGTGATAAAGATAAGTTCTATGCGGAACATCAACTATAATAAAGTCTCCACCGAAACAAAACATGGCCATAATCGGGGGAGACTGGAATGCGCGTAAACCTCGACAATTCGTAAATATGACATCGGAAACCGGTGCGCCAATTGGGAACACCTTTCTCGTTATGCCGAAGAGCCATGAACTTTTTGTTACTAATACTTGCATCGTAGAAAACATCTAGTCACGTGGAACTCCCCAAATAACTAACACTTTTAACCAGATTGATTATCATCTTAATCAGTCGCCGTTGGAAAAATTGCTTACTAAATTGTCGTCCTTATCGTAATGCTGAAACGGGCAATCTTCATGGATCTGACCATATTATGGCTAGAACCAATCCACATAAAACTGACAACTCGGAAACAACATCCCTCAAAATCCTTCAATTCAAACTAAAAAATTCGGAGATGGTGAGCGTATTTCAAAGCGAATTATTGAAGCATCTGAATATTAATGAGGTTTTTGGAAAGGCAAAAAAAATACTGATCCAAACTAAAGGAATATCTTCGAAAGTCTGCTGATTCCACTAAGGCATACTAGAAGGAAATATGCTAGTTGGGAATCAGAAGCAACTGTTCAACTGTCTGAACACTGAGTAGTTCAACTGTAAAAGGTGCCAAAGCGTGAATGTAATGAAATTCTGATTACCGGGTGCTTCCCAAGGATTGTAACGACATCAGCACGGCGAAACGGTGGAACAGAAATCATTATTGGAGTGATATGGTCTTGAGAATGGAGACGACGGCTCGATTAGGCGAAAACATAGGGAACTATTCAGCCTTCTTCATAAAGCATATTATTGTAATTCGGGGAATCAATGAAATGATAAAGGACAGCAACGACATGCCGATCAAGAGTATTAAGGACCGCCTCATAAGATGGAAAAAATTCTTTGAAGCCAAACTTAACCATGAAGCATCATCTTTTATCCAAAATATAACACAACTGCAAATCGCCAACAGAAGAGGAAATGATCTCCATAAGTTTAAGACCAATAAAACTCCCAGAGAAGATGGTATTCGGGCCGAACTCTTCAAATATTCTCCATCATCGTTCATAACTCATCTTCAACAAATGTATTCTCTGGTATGTAAAAAGGAAATAATACCAGAAGATTGGAGCAAAGCAATTCTGCTTCCAAATCCTAAGAAAGGTGACAGGACATACTGCAACGATTACAAAGGAATAAGCCTACTGGATATCTTCGGAAAAATTTTCGCTTCTCTTCTGCTAGATAAATAAGTGGAATGAGATAGCAGAATGCTTCCTAACTAAGCTGGATTGAGGCCGGGACATGGTTATGCTGATATTTACGCTAAGAAGGGTTGTGGAAGATTGCTTCAAATACCAGCAACCCAAGTCACTTGCTTTAACGATTTTAGTGTTGCCTTTGATTCGCTTGATGGAGCAGCACTGATGAAAAATGATGAAATGTGACGGTATCCCAGAGCATTCGGCTCATAAAGGCATTTCAACAAACCTTGGCTTAGATCTGTATAAGGGGAAACTGACAGACTTCGAAATAAGAACTGGTGTCCATCAGGGCTATGTTCCACAACATTCAATACTATACAATAAACAGGATAATTGGCATCGCTTGTCGGCACCCAAGTGTGTACAAATTAGTCCACAGCATAGCATCACTGACTTTGAATATGTTGATGATGTAGTCCTTTGCTGACAATTATAATGGAAAGCAAATAATGACAATGTATCAACAACTGCAGCAAGAATAGGACTCAGGGTCAATGTACACAAAACAAAAGTCTTTTCGTCTTATATGCAAGAAGATGATAAAATGCCTTTTTTTGTAAATTGCCGGTTGAGGAAGTTCCCGATTTTAAATACCTTGGGCTCACTCTAATACCAAATGGCCAGGCAGAAACGATATTACAACCCGAATCACGGCAGTTAGAAATGTGTTCTTCCAATTAACGAAACTTTCATGGAGTCGTCGTGAAATCACCATAAAAGCGAAAGTTCACATCTATATAGTCGTTCGATTTTGCTATATGGTTCTAAGGTATGGCCAATGAGAGTAAAGGATATTAAAAAGCTATCTACCTTCGACCACTCTTGTCTAAGGCACATTTTACGGGTCCGACGAGCGGAAAAAATATTACATGATCGCATTCACCTTCGCTCAAAACACTTGCATTAACAGTACCATCATAGAGTATCGTCTTCATTGGTTAGGGCACATTCACTCCCTCTTCCACCACAAGATATATTTCGTTATTTGCTACATCGCTACATCGTTACTTGTGATGAGTGGCTGAGTGACTAGGTGAGCCAATCAAGACCTGGACTGATACGGTCAGAAAAGATTTTAAACGCAAAGATGGACCAGCAATATATGGTCTTAGATGATGGAAAAAGGATCGGCTTCAGTTACTGTCAACGAATGGCATCAGACCGCGCCGCTTGGAAGCAGCCTTACCCTTGCAGCCGTTTATCAGCAACCAGTAATGGTGAGAACTGTTAAAAGAAGAAAAAATAAATGGGAAAATTGTAAGAATATAAGTAAAAATAACATTTTTGAGAGCTTATTTTTTGAGAGATCAATATTCTTTCAATTCAGTAATGATAAAAATCTGGCGATGAGGAATAACATGAATTACATACAATAATTTCAGTAAAGAGATGTGCTTCCATTTTTTCCTTTTTTTTCTTTGCATCAGCTGTTTTTTCTTCTTCAAAACGAAGTCGAAGATGTCGAGGTATATCCTCTTCAGTAACTGGACATAATACTTCGTCTGAATTTCAGAAATTTAACAGCGATAAATATTAAAACTGAGATTATTAAAGCGAAAAGAATTTAATATGAAAAAATATAGATTATAAACCATAAGAAACAAATTGCTAACTTATGCATGTCCTTTTAATATAAACAAGCATATATGCATTAGTGAAAGATTTTCCGGGTAATTCAGGGTCATCTCCACCATAGTTTGAATCAATCGCATCACGAATGGAAGAACGTGAAACTACATCATCGTCGAATTTACACCACTAAAATTTAAAATGAACATGTTTCATAGAAAAAAATGAAAATCTCAACAAAAAATGTCGAAACAACTTTCAACCAAGAAAAGCTTTTTCATTCACCATAAGTGTTAAAATTATATTTTATACTACAGAATTTTCCTTTTTTATCGAAAAAATCATTTTTTCATTATTTATTATTTTTCGAAATATGCTGAACATAAATGATCCAGATGCATATAAGAAATACATTTTTTGTAGCATTAGTTGATTAGTTGACAAATTAGTAATGGCAACGAAAGAATAAACATCAATAAAGGTACATTATGAACCTTGGCTAATCCATTCATATTCGTATTTATAAAAACAACATAATGTCCACCATGAAAATCCCCTGAATGAACTAAAACTGCATGAAGCAAAAACTCATTTTTCCCTTTATTATCTCCATCTTCTATAAATGCATCCAAATTTAGTATAGCCGGGAATTCAAATCTGAAAAAAACATGTCAAAATAATTCAAATTAAATAATATCAAATAAAATCATATGAAAGTAGAAATAATTCAGGAAAAAAGGTTTTAAAAATTTCCTTACTCCGTTTTCCATTGGAAAATCCCTTACTCAATTATAAGAAAAAAAGATACTTACTTTAAATTCAAATTATGAATTGCAAACTGAAAATGGAAATGGCAAAAAAGCGAATTTCTTACCTATCGTTAATTTTAACATTTGCATCTTGCTGTGCATCATACTGGAAACGCATTAACTGTAAATGCAGTATAGGTGGAAAGGAAATAAATTTAACACCCTTGACAGCAGGCTGTAGTCCAAATTCACCAGCGTCGTATTTATTATCCCCATCGAGTGTTTCTGAAGCAGTATAGTCGGCGAATGATTCTATCACTGCAAGAAGATAACTAATTTTATAGCAAATTTTTATCATTTTTAAACATTTAAAGATATAGTGATTTTATTAATAATCCATTCATCCAAAATAAATTTCGGTTTCAGATCAATTAGTTCTAATTTACTTCCTAAATATATACGATATCTTCAAATAGCAGTTGGAAATAACTGGAAAATAAAAAATGAACACATATAATAATGATCAACTCACCATTAGCTTTCCCCTTTATGTTAAGTTGAAGGTCATAAAATGATTCAACCCGATTTGATTCAAAAGAGACATTTGTACAACGTACATATGACTTCATTTTTCCTTCAAATAACGAAGGAATTGTGTTTTTTACCTGAAATTGTACTGAGGGCAAATCAGGAACTTTCAAGCATAATTAGTTTAAACTTATAAAAAAATATGAAATGTAAAAAAAAACACAATTGGCCAAGGATAAATTTGATGACAAATGCACAGGAATCGAAAAGTTCAAGAAACTAACTTTTGTTCCTGACATTTTATTTTCAAGGTTATCCAGCAATACTCGACATAATTCTTGAACATCGTGCTGATGAAATGATTCCACGCTATCCCAGCCGAAAGATTTCGTTAACTTTTTGGTTCCTACAGGCTTATCAGAATTTTGAAGCTCGTAAAATACACGTTGCATAGCAAGAGCTACGGATGTCTCCGGATCATCGTTTTCTGTCGGCATTTGATAAACTGCCTAAAACAAAGTGAAGATTACATAGACTGATCAAAAATTTCCCCTAAAATACAAAAATTTTATAAAACGAAAATAATGCCAAGAATAAGATTCATGGAATTTTGACTTTTTTTGATTCGCGATTGCTAAACATAATCAACAATTTTCCATGAAAAAATGACCTTTCTCAACTGATTAGTGAAAAAAAATGTTTGTAGAATTGAATTCATATAGCAGGTTGCTCCTTGATTTTTCAAACCGATAAATCCTGTATGTTTTTTACTATCCCATCTGAACAAAAATGAAAAATTAATATGCTCTAAATAAAAAAAAAAACTCTTGCAGAAATGGTTCTTCTCGCAAATTGAAAAAAACTTTTTGTGAATATTTTGAAGAAAATTTTTCTATATTGAAATTTCTAAAATTTTGAATTGCAAAATCAAGTGAAAAGATATTCTTAAAAAGTGATGCAGAGCTCACTGAACACCATGAGGAGCATCAGCCATAACTGTGACTTCCAATTTAATTGTATCATCTTTGATATAACCATTTTCGGGATTAAGCAATGTCTGAAATTCAAGTAATAATTGCGTAAGCTTTTTATTCACTTGAAAAAAAATGAGTTAGCAATGTTAACATAGTTAAGTAGAAATGGCATATAAAAATTCTCTATTCGATAACAAATGGCTCGGGGAAGTAAATAAAATAGACTTTTAGAAAAATCAAACTGAGTCAGAAAATGATTTATGACAAACGAAACGAACTAAAAACTAAACCTCGCATGGTAAAAACTGAGAATATCCCCAATCATTTTCTTTCTGATAAAATGTATGATTTATACGTCGAACATGGTTTTCGATTCCAGGCTTTTGTGCGAGCACTGTCAAAACTGCGCTTGCAGTACAAGACCAAGACATAGCTTCAGCCTCACCGTTGCACTGCAGAAAAAACCCAAAAGCTCGACTCACTGATCTTCGATCTAACTGAAACAAAATTATATTAATTATGAAAAAATAAAATGGACTATAAAAATAAATTTCCATTTTTCTTGGTAGGAAAATAGAAATTTGATAAAATTTCTGCTCGATTAATGCACAAGAAACAAAGATAATAGAACTTATTAACATAAAGATAATAGAACTTACAGTAACTCTGCCTTGTTCACGAGGCATAGCCAAAATCCTCCAAGGCAAGCCTCTAACGTAAACCGGGTCGCTTAATTTTTGATTCTCCGCAGTACCTCGGGCAAATTCACTAAATCGCTGGATGGATAAACGCAGAGTACCTTCAGGCTTATAAGGATCTAAATCAATGCAATCGTAAGAAAAGAATTTTGTGAATTTTAAAAAATTGAATTTGACATGAAATTTACTATAATTTAATATAATTTTAGTATAAGTATATCGATATAAAATGAAAAGTTTTCTTAAAATAAACCATTTTTAATCTTTTCATAATATTGTCATCAAAATCGAAAAAAAAGAAATTACCATCTTCTTCACAATCTCGAATCAAAGGAGATCCTTGACCTAATGATGCTGTAAAAAAATTTTAGAATAAATGATTGTTGAAGTCGTTTTCAGCAATATAACAGCTTATATTTAAAATTAAAAACATGAAAGTAAAAAATTTTGATATTTTACAAAATTTCGTAAGGATGTTTACCATAATGTCTTCAAAAATAAAATAACAAACCTCCATTCTGATCCGAAATTTCCATTTTCTCGTCTTGATTGACGCAATGTGGAACTGATTTAAGTAATTCTATACTATCCTCAGTGGCGTTTTCTCTTTCGACCTGTAAAAAAATTCTCCTCTTGAATATTTCGCCAAAGTTTTTCATACGTATTGGGCGTGGTCGAAAAAAAAACGTAGTATAAACATGATTAACAGAATTTACAGAAATTATTTGAAAAAAGAAAGAAAGAATATTTATAAATGCACAAAATATTCATGCAAATATTAAACATTCAAAGAAATGAAAATGAAACTCAGACAAATTAAATAAATATTAACGTGTGTTTCAAAATTTTCCTAATATATTATCTAAATTTAAAAAAGATAAATTAACAATATTTCACACATTTAAATGATTTATTAGACGAATAAAAAATGATGGAAAATTGGACAGACTACTAACTTGAACTAATGGCGTAATTGTGTCGATTTCTTCATCAGTGTCGCTATTTCTCATATTTTCAATTTCTGCAGTCAAAATTTCGCTTGTCATATCCCAGTCTGTACGAATGAAGCAAGAAATTTTTTTCCTCTATTGATTGATTAAAATCAGTTATAAAATAACTGAAAATATAAACGGTTATTATGGAGAAAGAAGAAAAGAACTACTCAGTAATAACGCCCATAAATTTTGATATAAATTTTTTAATAAGACTATAAAATTTTCGATTATTTAAAAAAGAAAAAAAACATTAAAATTTAAAAAATCTGAAACCTACAATAAAAAAGTTGGATTTTAATTAAACAAAAATCTAATTTAACAAAAAAGTTGCAAAAAAATTTTATTCAAAATATTTGCGAATAACTGTAAACAATTTAAAATTTAAATTTAAAAAAATAAAATTCTCACGTGTTAATATTAAAATTTCTGCTAAAATCTTAAATGAATAAGTATAATTCGTAATATTAATAAGAAACAATCTTTAAATCTAAATTAAATAGAGATTTTAAACTGGGCAGAAAAATTACAATTATCGGAAATCAAGAGAAAGAAAAAAGGAAATAATTAAATAATAATGAATGAATAAAATAAAGAAACTAATTAGAGTTCTTAAAACTTAAAAGTGACCGAAATTTATGAAATAACATTATTAAAAATTAATAATTAGAATAAAATATAGAATAAAAAGAATAACTTTAACTTATTTTTCGGCATGAAAATTCCAAAATTCCAACAAAAAGAAGTGAAAGAAACATCAACTTTATACAATTTTTTTGGAAAAAAGGGGTTTAAAAAAATGAATAAACGGAAAATTAATTATTTAAATATTTTTTAAGAAAATGTGAAAACAACGAAAAGAATGCATTCTTAAAATGGAAATTTGGTTAATGATATTAAGACTTTGGAAATAACAAGTAAAAAAAAAATTTTTTTGCATGAAAATCTCGATTTGGCGAGAAATGGAAGACGAATAATTCGGGTCCGAAAGAGCGACTAATAATGAATAAAAAACTGGGATATTAAAAATGTTGAAGAACTCGAGGAACATGAAATTGGGAAGTGGAGGCTCAAGAAAGGAGTGCCTATTAGTGAACTTAGCGGCTGCTGAAGTGAGGGATGAGGAAAGGAATACCCTCGACGATGGCGAAAAAACTCACCCAAAAATGAACTTTAAAAAATTGAAGGGAAGTTACAAGTACTTTCAGCTAGACAACAAAATTATTTTTCGCATCAATTCGCCGAATACAGTCCCGCAAACACTTCGTTTGAAGACGCAGAATTTTAAATTTTATGATTTTTGACGAACTGCAGCTCCATATCCCGCTACATTGTAAATCACCTGCATTTTTCTGCAGTTGTACATCCGACACTATTACCTATCTTTATTATATCTAATTACTTTATCACTTCCTAAAACAATTGGCTAATTCTCAAATTGATAAATTTTACTCTCATCAATTTCGAAAATCTATATTTCCAAATATTTTTTTGTGAAATATCACAGAAAACTTGAAAATTGGCTTTGGTTACAAAAAAGTTTACAAAAAAATTTGTATCTGACTTGTCTTTTTCTTGCAAAAAAAAAGCCATGAAACGATGTGAATGAATAGCTGAACGAGAAGAGTTAATGACAAAGCCTGGACCCATTTTACTCTAACCGCCAAAACAGCCGGCAAAACCAGCAGTGCCCCGATTAGAAGAGGAAGGAGAATGGAAAAAGTAATTCATAAAAAAATTTTGATTATAAACGATAAATAATATATCAAAAAAAAGAAACTATAACAATGAATAGGCGAAAATATTTTTGAGAACACTTCATCGAGAGTACTGTTGAATAATGAGTATCAACCTCCTTATATATTTACATAATAATAATAACAATAATAATAATAACAATAATAATAATAATATAAAGTAATAAAACAGAGCGATAATTAAGCGAGATTTTTTAGGAGTAATGGAGTAAGGAATTTCGTAAAACTTTCTTGCAAAGTATAAAAAAGTTTTAAGGAACTAATTTAATTTATAAGTGTCCCAGAGAATATTTTTAAAAAATGAATGCCATAATTCTGCATAGCAAAAAAGATTTAATTTCATGCAATTGAATAATGATCGAAGATAGTTTCAAAAACTTAATATAAGGTATAAAGTGATAAAAGTCCAAAACTTTATGGAGAATACTGAAATTCAGAACAATGTTCATGTTCATTCCTGGTAAGCCTCGCTCCATTGATTATTATTAAGATAAAAAATTTTGCTAGGGAGCCATCTGGTGGAAAGATCTGAAAGTAGAAGGTTACCACACCTTCAGATTTTAATTGTAGGTTTACTCGCGCCAGAAGCAAAGGTATGGTGCAGCATACAGTAATATTTTTCGCACTGCACGATCACACTGATATTAAAAATAAATAACTGCAAAATTTGAAGTACTAATATTAATCATTAATGGAATTATCAAAACAATGAGGTGCCTAAAAATGAAAATAATTAAAACCAATGAAAATCTTTGAATGAAAAAATTTCACTACCATCGCTGCTAACTCTTTTTCCAATTCTTGAATTTTATAATCTAATCAACAACATAAACACATAGAAAGATAAGTAAAACAAAAAGCTGCCATGGAAACCAGAAAAATAATTTTTACAAAAAATGAAAGAGCATGCATAGAAATTTTGCAGTGCGAAAAATGGATATCGTTTTCTGATTAAATAGCAGTGAAAAGCAATGACATTGGTCTGATGAATGCAAAATTTTTTTTTTACATTCATCACTTCTTGTTAGGTTTATTTCATTGGGTTATTAGATCATATAAATTTTGCAAGAAAGAGTCAGAGCTGGGCCATCAGCAGCACCTGGGAATGTAGAATTTATTCAATATATAATAAAGACAGGTAAATACAAAAGAAGTTCAAATTGGAAGAAGTAAAACTGCAAATATGGAGTTCCAAAAAAGGTGAAATATGCAGGAAACATTTAACAAATAAATTAAATAAATAAGCAAAAACCAAAGAAAATGAAAAATAGAAAAATAAAACTGGAATATATCAATCAACCAAGATAAATTTTCACTGAAATAAAGCAAAATAGCTGCATAAATATTAAAATAAAAAATTTTTCAACAAAATATGTAAAAAACTTATCAATGATATTTAAACAGCAGATTCCGGGGTTATTTTCAAAGCAAATTTAGATGTCGATGACTGTTGTTCTGTCAGATTGAAAAATGGAAGGGAATGAAGAGTGCATAAAAGTTGAACTCCAGCATCATCATCCTGCTGATGACAGCGTAATATAAATATCATTCCATGGCGAATCGTTGTTGATGCTTGAACGTTGCACATAATTGACCATTTCGATTCCTCTATGCGATCCTTAAAGACATTTTTTTCATAAAACGCCCAATTATGGAAAATTAGAACTATAGATATTATATATTGAATATATGTATATATATAATTGCTACAAAAGCTAAATTTTTCAAGTCAAATCTTACGGGAAAGGGAAACTTTGGTGAGAAGAAGCGCTGAAGAAATGTGAATGCGGAAAAACGTAATGAGAGGCAGCGAGCCAAATGTGCAACCACTTGATCTGCAGAATGACGAGGTTGTTGACGTGTTAGCTTTAAATATTTATTAAGTGGCCGAGCAATGGCAGCAAACACTGCTTGTGCTGCCCCCAGTGCTTCCATTGGTTCACCAAGTAACTGAAATACAATTTAAAAACTCTAAAAAACGATATTGTAACGATACTGTAACGAAAATGCTAACTCACGCTCTTTACAACTGATCGACAAATCATTTTCTCTGTGCACTATGCATTTATCCGTATGCTATCGATTTAAAACCCCTATATAAAACCCCTCGTTGCTATTATACTTCAGTTTTCAGTTCGTTCAGTTAGTATAATTTAGGTCTATGATTGCAGCTCGATATTTATTTTTCAACAGTTCAACAGTTCAGAACCAACCGAACAATTCATTTAAGTAATCAGAAAATCCTCAATATTTTTCTACATTCTACATTATATTATTAAACTGAACAAGACTGTAATAAGACTGCAATTAGGTCTACGACAGCAACAACAGGTAAATTTTAATTTTTGCATTTTAATTTTCTTTCTACAGCTTTTCAGTAAAATTTCCATTGATTTTAAAGAAACAAAAATAATACAATAGGATAACGGAATATTTTAAAAACCTTCTTCTGACAATTTGCAGTTATACTTTGAACACTTGCAAAAGCATCTTCAGTAGTGCTTATCAAGCGATATTTACGTTTTTGAACTCGTCTTTCCCAATCAACGACGTCATGAAACCGCTCATTATGCCCACCAATACGCCTTTTTGCTGTTGCTTCCATTAACGCCCGCGCATTTGCTTCAGATATGGTACATTCAGCACCAAGACCTTCGATATCATACATTTTAAAACCTGATGGTTGTTTTGGTTCTGAAACGAGCATTGTATCTAAAAATCTGTTCAAGAAATTTAAAAAAACATTAGAACCCTACTTGAAACTGAAATATTGAACTTTTGAGTTGACCTTCACATATAAATTCTTTTTATTATATAAAAGCAAATTTTTTTTGTTCGATAAATTAAAAATTATGAAACAAGAAAATTGTATATATATATATATAAACATAAAAACAAATATCAAACCATTATTAAATCGTGATAAACCATTCTCTTTGTCCAAAAATGGATTATATGAAGGGAAATACGTATAATATAATCGAAGCACATGCACAGCTGCTTCTTGTACACTCATTATACCAATGTTAAAAGTTTGCGATTCACCATCTGGATCTCGAACTATACTGACAATAAATTCTGGCCTTAACGCTCTTAATTCAAGGATGATTACGGAGATATAGTGAAAATACAACAAGGCATCCAGAAGCGATAAAGCAAAATTAACAACAACTATAAAATTATTTTGCCGCTCATATAGAATTCGTACTGAATAAAATAGCCAGAATGCAAAAAGAACGAATAAGGCGAAAAGTGTAAGAGTAGTTCGATGGAAAAATAAACGAGGCATATCAGCTGGTGCTCTTCGAAAATACATCGCCCAAAGGGCCACTATCAAAAACAGACTTTTCATGGCCATATTAAGCAATAAACCTTGACAATCTGCTTCACAAATAATCTGTAATTTTTTTTTCAAAATTTTTCCATAAATTATTCTACTTTACAATAAAATCAACTAACTTCTCCAAATCGAATAATTAAAAAATTTTTTTTCCGTTATTTTTTTCAAAGGAATATAAAAACCTCCGGCAAAAATAAAATTCAACTGCGAGAGTACTTGAATAATTGAAAGAATTTAGAAAAAAAAGAACCAACCTCTGGCCACATATAACCGAACTGCTTTAATATTAAAGGTAATGAAGTCATCATTGGAGCTGATATAATTGCAATTAATGAAATTGTAAATGCACTACATAACCATAAAATTCGAGAACATCTTCGAACAACAACTCGCCCAACTGGTGCAACAAAAACTCGTTCATTTAATCCACTATATGAGTGTTCACTTGTATTACCCGTCACAACAGTCGTACTTTCTGCCCAGTTTTCATCATCCAAATTTAACTGTTTGGTTGTCCCCTTAAGATTAAAAATATAAGCTTAAATTAGATTAATGTAAATACTGTAGTATTGTAAGTACTATAAGTACTACAGAACCAACCTCTAAAAAATAATAAAATATTATAAATAATAATTTGTAAATAAAAAATAATATTTATTTATATTTGTATTTTCTTGTATTTTCAATACAGAAATCTTGAATTTTCTCTTATTTCAAGCGAAATTAATGAATAAACGCAAAATCAAAAAATTGAAAAAGTTTTTTAAAGCATAAGAAAAGTGGAGATGGAGAACATTTTCGGCTTCATTTTTAAACTCAGAAATGCATTTTCCAATCGGAAATAATGCATGAAAGATAGGATTTTAAACAATTAGTAAAAATAATATTAGAAAGCAATAATAATTCAGATAAACTTCGCTAGTAGCAGCTGAAAAATGTGGGACAAGAAATGGAGTTGCGATATCGGAAGAACCAATGCGCGCACGTGGAACACTTCGGGAGCTGCGTGAGCCTCGGACCGATGACGCTCGACGCCCCGAATTCTCTGACATCACCGACATCGCAATCTATAATGACTACTTTGATTTAACGACGAAAAAGTCTCACAAGACGGATACTACTCTTAATATTATTATTGCATATTATAATATCATTTTCACAGCGAATTCTCGCCATTATTACTTCTAAACAATCAATTTTTAATTTATTATTGGTTAGAAAATTATTATTTGCTATTAAACTGGCATAACTCCGGTTTTCGCTAAGAAAGAAAACTTAAATTAAGGAGGACCTCGAAATATTCGCAACACGACGACCGAAAAAACACGGAACAGTTCTCCCTAATTACGAACTCAACGATTAGTTTCCTCCCATTTTCAGAAACCAAATATAAGGTCACAGCAGCCGCAAAACACTGTGAAAAATACGGCCCTTCATCGCTGAGCGAGGTCGGCTGCCCGTTCTCGAAAGTAATGAACGACGCGTTGCATATCTGAGCGAGGTTGAAGTTTCATTTGCATCAGTACTTCAGCATAAAAATATAAATGCAGTATCACCAGATGCCACATCCATTTGCCGTCCATTAACCTTGCGCTCAATTGTCGGAGGTTGATTAGCTGATAATGAGAAAGCAAATTGCTCCCCCGGAACGAATATTCAAACAGAATTATTAATTTATTTAAAAATAACAATTTTTAAGAAAAGATAACCGCAGTATTTAGATAAAAAATAAAGAGAGAATTCCTCGTACTCCGATAATTATTGTCTTAATTTAGAAATTATCTCGCAAGGAGTTAAATCACTCCATTATATCATATCATTTCCGCCTGTTTTTGGCTTTTGGACAATTATTATCCTGGAGAGCAGAAGGTCGGTTCGGCTCGCTCACCCCAAACCGTAATCCGGATAGCTTGCGATCTGCTTAAACTTCTAGCCCAGCGACTCCCTAACTGCACTGAAATGAAAGGCAACCGTGAAAACAAATAATTATTTCTTTAGAATTTATTTCTTTGATCAGTCAAATATATAAAAAGTGATATTTGTGAGGTTTCACTTCGATGCGAATCAATTTGCTGATACATATTTAAAATTTATTTTAAAAAAGGGCGAAAATTAATTTAATAGGCTAATCCAATTTGTAAAATTACTTTTCTTGTCCTTATTTTTGGTCCTAAGTTTCAAGAAAATTAAAAAATATTTGCCTTATATAAATCATTTTAATTCTTTAAAAGAAGCAGTATGCCCAGTCGCATGCCTAGGACAGTGTTTGAAATATATTGGTAATGGTATCGCCAATCATTTGGAATTATGCCAACTTTGCTGGCTGACAGCAAAAGAAATGGGTCACCAATATCACATAAGTTCTTAATGATATGCCTCGCTGTGCTACGGAATCGAATGTTTGATGCTTGATGCCCGATAGAGATCGAAATATAAAAATTGCTGAAAAAATTTTTATACTTATTGAAAACCAGCCAAGCAGGGCGACAACGCCATGTGCTTATATTAATAATAACAGTTAAAATAACAAGTAATAATAATTAATGATAAAAAAGAAAAAGAAAATATGACAAAAATTAAGAAATTAAAGAGAAAATTATGAAATAATATAATATAGTACGATTCGAAGTAGCTGTATTATATATAATCTGATGGTAAAAATAGGGATTTCACATTTCCTGCATGAATTATTTATTTTAAAAAAGGGCGAAAATTAATTTAATAGGCTAATCCAATTTGTAAAATTACTTTTCTTGTCCTTATTTTTGGTCCTAAGTTTCAAGAAAATTAAAAAATATTTGCCTTATATAAATCATTTTAATTCTTTAAAAGAAGCAGTATGCCCAGTCGCATGCCTAGGACAGTGTTTGAAATATATTGGTAATGGTATCGCCAATCATTTGGAATTATGCCAACTTTGCTGGCTGACAGCAAAAGAAATGGGTCACCAATATCACATAAGTTCTTAATGATATGCCTCGCTGTGCTACGGAATCGAATGTTTGATGCTTGATGCCCGATAGAGATCGAAATATAAAAATTGCTGAAAAAATTTTTATACTTATTGAAAACCAGCCAAGCAGGGCGACAACGCCATGTGCTTATATTAATAATAACAGTTAAAATAACAAGTAATAATAATTAATGATAAAAAAGAAAAAGAAAATATGACAAAAATTAAGAAATTAAAGAGAAAATTATGAAATAATATAATATAGTACGATTCGAAGTAGCTGTATTATATATAATCTGATGGTAAAAATAGGGATTTCACATTTCCTGCATGAATTTTTTAAATAATATCATAAATGATATTATCTAATCTTTTTTTAATGATAGCTAAGGATGACGCACATGCTATATCGTTCGGTAATTTATTCCAGTAATTAATAGTACGTCATGAGTCCTTAGTTTAATTTTACATCTAGGTTTTAGTAATTTTAGCTCATTAGTTCTTGTTGGATTCAAATTTAGCCTAAAATTACAATATTTTGAACATCTAGTTCAACTTAATAATCTTAACCATACAAAATCTTATATTTATTTATTTATTTATTTATTGATAACCAACCAAGCAGGGCGACAAGGCCATGTGCTTGCATTAATCATAACAATTAAGATAACAGAAAAAGAAAACACAAAACAAAAAAAATATATATATAACATAAACAAAATTAATTATAAAACAATATGACAGAAATTAACAATTTAAAGAGGAAATTACAGATCAATATAATATAGTACAATTCGAGGTAACATATATAACCTGAAGATAAAATCGAGATTTCTCACTTCCTGCAGTTCTTGCCTGGTGTAAACTCTTCTTTTTTTTTTGTTTTTAAATAATATCGTAAATGATATTATCTAGTCTTTTTTTAAAGACAGCTAGGGATGACGCACAAGCTACATCGTTCGGTAATTTGTTCCAGTAGTTAATAGTACGAATAAAAAAGTCATGAGTCCTTAGTTTAGTTTTGCATATAGGTTTTAGTAATTTTAAGCCATTAGTTCTTGTTGGATTCAAATTTAATCTAAAGTTATAATATTTCGAGCAATCTAGTTTAACATAACCATACAGAATCTTATATGTAAATTAAATTAAATCTTGTTTAATTCTACGAACTGAGAGAGAATCCATGTTATGTTGTAGAAGTGTTCTTTTATAATTAAAATTATAATTTTTATTAGGAGAGAGGCGTCTTAGAAAATATTTTTGGAGTCCTTCGATTATTTTGCCTGTTTTGCGATGTCTAGGGGAGTAACATATAGTATTGTAGTCAAGAAGAGGCCGAACGAATGCTTTGTACAATTTGATAAGAAAACTTTCAGTTTTGTTCTTAAACGAACGAAGAATAAAATTTAGTATCTTTGAGGATTTCTTTACTATGGTTCTGCAGTGAAGATCGAAATCGAGATTTTCATCCATGATTATTCCAAGATCGGAGATGTGTGAGACTCTATTGATTAAATTACCATTTATAAAAAGGTTAGGAAGATCAAATCCTTTAGAGTTGATGTGAAGAACGCTACATTTTTGGAAGGAAAGGGTAATTTGCCTGTCGTATAGCCAGTCAGCTATTCTGTTGAGGTCCTCCTGCAGTGGAGATAGGCTATCCGTTCTACCATGAGAATAATAAATTTTACAGTCATCAGCATAAAGATAAATAGTAGAATTTATTACCACTGTGGTGATATCATTTATATATATTAAGTCTTGTTTAATTCGACGAACACTGAGAGAGAATCCGGGCTATATTGTAGAAATTTTCTTTTATAATTAAAACTATTAGGTGAGAGGCGTCGTATAAAGTATTTTTGGAGCCCTTCAATTAATGTAATTACTTGAATTATTTGCGATATCTCGGGGAGTAATAGGTAGTATTGTAGTCAAGAAGATGCGGAACGAACGCTTTGTACATTTTGATAAGAAAGCCTTCAGTTTTGTTCTTGAACGAACGAAAAATAAAATTTAGTATCTTTGAGTATTTCTTTACCATGGCTCTGCAATGAAAGTTGAAATCGAGGTTTTCATCCATGATTATTCCATGATCGGAAATGTGTAAAACTCTACTGATTATATTACCTTTAATAAAAAGATTAGGAAGATCGAATCCTTTAGAATTGATATGAAGAACGCTACATTTTTGAAAAGATAGAATAATTTGCCTATTATATAACCAGTGCCTATTATTGGCTATTCTGTTGAGTTTCTCCTGGTATCTGCTCTACCATGAGAATAAATTATCAGCATAAAGATAAATGATAGAATTTAGCACCACTTTAGTGATATATAATAGAAAAAACAATGGCGCAATACAATCAGCTTGGGGAACGGGGGAACGTCACATTTAGTAGGTGTCATTTCAGAAAAAATGTTGTTGACACATAAAGCCTGGTGACGATCTTTTATGTAACCTGACCAATCGGAAAGATTTGCCAATATTTCTGAAGAATTAGAATTTTTCATACAAAAATATAAAAGCATGGCGATAGAAGGATATGAAATTATTGGTATCAAGATAAGTAACCAATTTGTTGCAAATCAACCTTTCGGATACCTTGCTACCAACGCATGTGAGGCTAATAGGCTTATAATTAGAAGGTTCATAGGTGCTTCCTTTTTTATAAATGGGAATTATATGAAACAATTTCCAAATTTTGGGATTAAGGCCAGATTTCAAAATGTCCTTATAAGCTAGAAATAGAAGAAGACTCAGAGAGACTGCACATTTTTTATAAATTATTTGTGGAATATTATCGAGGCTAGATGAAATGGACAGCTTAAATCTATTTAAGACATCATAAACGTTATTCGATTTGATGTTTGGGAAAGCTGCTATGTATAAAAATGATAAATAATAGTTTGATTAATAAATATTAATATTATCAAAAATGATAAATAATAGTTTGATTAATAAATATTAATATTATCAATAAATTTGTTAAATTTTTCCTATGGGATACTATCGATAGTTGAAGGAATTAATTTTAGCAACGATAATAATAATTTACCAGTCGCAGCAACTACTTTTGTACAAACTGGTAATGAACTGCATTATTTTTCTAATATTCAGTATCATGAAAATCTTATAGGAACAGTAGTTAAGGAACTAAATTTTGGTGAATAGTCCTTGGGTGTCTCGCAAATATTAAGAGTTCGAAGAGCACAGCTCGTCAAAAGTATGTTTTGATGCAATATCTGGTTCAGCTATCCATTTTCATTGCATGTTTCGATGTTTTTCCTTCCTCATCAAGAAAGTGCATTCATCACTGGGTGCATTCACTTATACGGTTAAAGGAAAGTCAAACACATATCGATCGCGACCATTTTCAGTGCTTGAATACCTTTGAATGCCACATTTGTTTCAAAACCACCAATTATAATAAAATCTGGTTTAAAGCAATTGATTGCGACTCCTATCGCTAAATTATTGTTTGATTCAACTCGATTCAAGCAAGATGATCCGCGATTGATTGGTTTCAAAGGTAAAATTATAGCGGAAAACCGTGGTGGAAATTATAATGTTTCAGTGCCTTATCTTGCCATTGTATATTCGGGAACTTTAACGCAACCTACAAAGTTTCGTGATCTTGTGAAACCACCTGTTTCTAGTAGCGTTGCGTTGAATAATGGTCTGCCATTTGGTATAGCCATTTGAATATGTCCGTCGCTCCTAACGCTATGAGTTCTTTCACTGTGAAATTGGTTGTACCAGTGGTAATACTTGGTGTTGGTGAATCTCGGCCAGTATTTCTCTTAAAATATTTAAGGAAAATTACTGCTTTTCATCAACTTGCATTTTGCATATGGACGTGTATATATTCACCATTCCTATAATGGTCGACTAAAAGTTTTGCTTAGTAAAAATATATTCAATTTATCAAAAGGAATTCAATTTTGGTTTATTGCAATTGGGTAATTCTAGTTCAATACAGTTTGTTATATCGAATGAAAACCCCGTTCCAGTTACGATTAGGAAATTAAAGAAAGCCTACGACGTCATCATTGCCTTTATTGAACATTGAAACTGATCTAAAGAATTCCAAGAATCAAGTTCAACAAAATTCATGGCAAGGTTTCGTTCTGGAATTTCCAACTCAAAATTTCGTGATTTTCGAATATTTATTAAGACAGTCTTCAGATCCACTCGGTTTATTCATGATCGCAACAGATTTTGAATAAACATTTCCTGTTGTGTACAAAATGGAGAAGGAGTCATTTATATTAAATCCAGATCATATTTCACTTGAAAATCACTTGAAAACGTCTTTCCTGGTAAAATGTGCTCTATAAATTTCCAGGTGTACAGTACATTTCAACACGATATGCAATTATTACGATTTTCGACTCTCTCTTACGATCCAAGAATATATTTTGAAAAATTTTCAGCCAGTTGTTAGAGCTGGTCAAATCAATGATCTTGGTAGAGTATTTGTTATACCTAAAGCTATTTGCTATTTGTAAAGATGACTGCTATGTTGGTATTCCACTGCATACAGCCGATGGTCAATGGTTCACATATGGCATACGTCTACCTCAGAATTTCGATGAAATCGACTATTATTTATACAAAAAAATCCAATACAGCTTGAATTTGTTTGGTCAAGGCTTTTGACTAAATCTGTGGTAAATTTCCCACTCTCTGCCGTTGGAAATTTCATGATAATGAATTTGACGTTAACGAATCCTTCTTCTCTTCCCATCGTTATACAGCTACTGCCATTAGTTATTTATCCAGATGCAGAAGTGGAGTTTTTTGCGATGATCTGCCTGCTCCATTGTTTGATATTATCGAAGTAAATGAAACGTTAATGTTCTCATTGCGTGATACGGAAATGTTCACTTTAAAGCAAGATAGCCGTATACCGAAATTGAGAGAAGAGGAAATTCTTGGAACAAGTATTTCCGAATTTTACTCTATCGATGTTATTGTAATTTGGATTGAAAGTTCGAGTGCGACTGGATTTTCTGCCATCCAATTATACTCTTCGATCTTCATTATTGTTAATTCGAAATAATTTCACTATTATTGAACCTGTTATTTTGTATGGTCGTGGAGCGCGAATGGATATGCAGATGGATGGATATTCCACAAGGATATTTAATCCTTTGATGTTCGAAATCCAAGGCCATTTAGCTAATTGCCATAATCCTAAGCGTTTGTCTCACAAGTTGCTCACAACTCTTATTGTGAAAATGTCATTTGTAGTGGCAAGTACCTTTTACTGTGGTAAATATGAACCTTAATAACGTGCCATGTGAGAATAGAGGCTTCTGAATTCTCAATTGTTATACGTTCCAGTTAGCATTTAATGAATCCTATATTCTTGATAATATAGCGTACACTTCAGACTTTTTGATATCTTGGAATGAAGCTTTACAGTTTTACATGCATATGAATGGGACATCTTGGGTATTTCCTACTGGAGCTTCTATCCCCAAACATATGTTAGCAAAGTGTCACGCTGCATTGCCTCGACCCCCTTTTGAGAGCATCAAATTACTCATGTGCAAAGTCGTGAAACACGTGACAGTGGGTTGCAAATATCTGAAGCGATGTTCCAACATCCTTCTTAACTTGAATATCTGGTCAGCAACTGCGCCGTGGTCTGACGTTCTTGCTTTGGCAGATTTTTCAGACAGTTGGACGGTTGCTTCTGATATCCAATTAGCACACCTCTAGCATGCCCTAGCATGGAAGTGACTGATTTTCTGATACATTCCTTTAGTTTGGATTAGTATTCATTTGCTTTTCCAGAAAAGTCATTGATATTTATATATCATTGAAGTGCTTCAATAATTCATTCCCATTGATAAGTCTCGAGTAATTGCCCTGGTTTGCGAGCACGTTATATTTATCAGCCTTGAGATCGCTTTAAGCCCGGATTGTGCACTTATCGCATGTACCACCGAGCTGGGAGTATTATGCGTGTCGGGTAATGCGGATGCCGTATTAAAAATATCTGATCCCTTCACCACAGAGTTAGCTGGGAGTAGAGGTACAGATGGGTTCACAACACAACAACCACCCGGATTTTTGGCATAACAGTTTTACTTCTGCCGAAGACAGGCATATTTTATGAGATTATTTTTTTCATAATATCATAAGTATAAATACATGAATACATATTTTATAAATACATATATTTTATTTGAAATTCTATTTGAATTTAAGAAAAAAAAAGAAACTTAGTTTTTATAGTTTTTTTACGAGTCTTTTTATCATTTTCTTTTCTTTGTATAATCTTACAGAACTTCTTATAAATTACTTTATAAACCATATAATTATTGAACATTTAAACTGAATTTAATTTTAAAAACAAAAAATGTTTCAATAAAAAAATTATGAGAAAATCCATAACCCTTATTTTGAATGCAATAAATTAAGAGATTAATTTTGCGAACAAAATTATTCATATTCTAAGGAAAATAATATAGGAAATTCTGAAATAATTATATAATTATAATTATAGGAATACACGGTATTGAGGTTCCAATCCCGGTATGATTGCTGGTCTTGATCTACCTGTAGTTTTACTGGCTTCTAGCCTGGCCTGACTTAGAATGAGCTTAACTAGAGCCGGTGAGAACACTTCAAAAACAAGAAAAATTTGCTTAAAACTTTTTACTAATCATTTCATTTCACATTCTCTGTACAGTTTTTTGTAGATTTAAGTCTAAAAAAAATTTAGATGAGAATAAGTATATTTATTTATGCAGATTATCTTAAATTATCTGATTGTGCTTTTTTTTATAACTTCGCTAACATTGTTGTTATGTTGTTGTTTTTATCATATTTTTTATTCATTATTCTTTTTTTAATGAATTACTTACAAAAAATTTTCAGTAAATAATTATAATAAATAATCATTAAAATAATTTTTAGTAGCACTGCTTAATTATTTTCTTTAATAAATAATAAATAAATTGCGATATTTCCACCAATTTTTTAAGAAAATTTCTAAAATTATTGAATATGCAAATAATAGGCAAAAAATTTCAAATAGTGCAGTAATTTAATTAGCCTATGCTCGCTTTTAACTTTTGCGACTCAACAATAGTTTGGATAAGATGGTATGCAAAGGAATGCCTATTTTTAAATATACCGTTGGATTGCGAAGCTTGAAATTATTTCAGTCCTATATGTAATGGAATTAGCAATATCAAAAATTGCGCTGTTAGAAAAAGAATTTGTATAATGATTTTATATTCATTTTTGATAGCGATAAACATAAAATCAAAAAAATTCAAGAGAAAAAACTTTCACTATCACTTTTCTTAAGATTCTAATTTCATAGCCCTAGCAGTTTCTATATTTTATATATTTGCCATCTTTCTTGGTTAATCAGAATATTCTAGTAGCTGGCGCCACTGCTGGTTTGGCTCGCTGCTCTAGCAATTAGGATAAGATCTTTCCAAGCTTACCGATATACCATTCCTGAAAATAACTTCTTTTTCACCACCTAACCTCTTTTTCATCATCTGAGCCGCCTATATATTCAAAATTTTCACATCAACCCAGATCTCGATTGGTCCGCTTTTGATACATCAATCACAGCGAATAGCCAGATATGTACCAATTTGCATGGCGAAGAACATAGCCTTAAGTAGCGCAGGCGACGTTTTGTAACAATAATGCATATTGGATATTGGATAATGTAGTGCATATTCGGGCGAAGATTCAATTATATGTGATTCAATCTGTTTGATAGATATTTAAATATATAAAAAGGAAGTTTTCTGATATTTTTTACCATTCTTCTCCATACTTCGCTGTTGTATTAATAGGATTGCAAGATTAATAGGATAGATTGACGCAAACTTCCGTTTTGATTTCTCGTCGGTTCTCAAGGAAATTTCGCCAAACGAAAGATTGCACTTATACAGGTTGGGATTTAATTTTCCGCTCGGACATTAAATATGAGAGTGGGTCTGAGATAATTAAATTCCGATGATACGAGGTAAGGAATCTAAAACTTCTTGAATCGTTGATAAATTCAGGTATATCTTACTAATATCTAGTATATAAGACGAAAAGACGTAGATTCTATATAGACAACTGAATCTAATTTTCTGCTGCTGTTGATAACCGGCCTTCTGTCAATTACAGTTCCTTCCATCAGCGAAAAATACAACATTATCAGCTATTCAAGATCTGTGATAGTCACGCTCTGGATTAATTTGATATTTCCCAGCTTTTCATTTTTATTGGAAAGAATTTGACAATTCATATTTTAGAAGGGTGACAACTTCCCATACATGAAAACCTACTCTAGTAGTTTTTTTCATATTTAAGGCCATATCGTTTATCAGTTTTTATTCCACCACGACCGTTACACCCTTAAAAGTTTTGCTTCAATTTCTTCGGGACTATTCCACTATTAAATAAAATGAGAAAAAAATTCACGCTTGGAAAATATCATTTCCACCACAGCCTTATTCAAAAGCCTTTTTTGATATTCCTCCATAGATTTTATTATATCTATTGATTTCAGTTATAGCTATAATTTTTATAAACAAAAAAATTTATTTGAATAGCGAGTTGCCTCTTTTCGTTGGTTTTTTGTTGGTCCTAATATTTGTTTCGGCAATAAAATAAAATAATTCATATTTCTTAGATTTTTTTAACAATAGGCACTCCTGCCCACATCCCCACTCTTTCGGAAAAACGCCGAAACTTGATGCTTGAAACTACAGTTTAAGCATATTCCTCATGCTGACCTGTCACTACTGGTAAAATTGGAATTGACAGAATAAAATTATTGAACAACACGTTGAATGAATTTGTGCTAGCCAGTCTATCCTATTATTCCATTTAATATTATCCTATGCTTCTGTATAAATATATGAATTAAAATACTTAGCATTTTTACGTAATACTGTAAGAAATTTTGCCAGAGAATCACTCGAATAATCACTATAAAGTAGAAGTGGATCGACAAATTTGATCCATTCTGCCATGATGGTCTGAGTTTTGGCCAACCTTATTTCTATTCCTAGGGTTTCTATATTTCTACAGTATTTATTTATGTTCTCGAGCTTGCGCACTATTAAATGCCTGAAACCTTGTCTATAAAGTTCACAGCACAAGCTTTTTTTTCAATTTTCCAATAACTTGAATTTTTATGAATTTTATTTTAGCAGAATGTATCGTAATATTACGCATTCATAAATCAGATTTCTAGAGTTCGCAATTGGGATGAGTGGTAATCGATGCGCCTTCGAGAAGCATCATTGAATATTTCATCGAGTGAGCTGCTTAGCTGCGCACATAAGAATTTGAGTTTTCTGGTCTCCAAATGAATCGAGTCTTTTATGAATCGAGATGTTAAAATCACTGCGCCACTCAATTCATAATGCTCTAGAGTATAAACTTTGGTAATAAGGGCTGTTAGCGTAGCAGCGCAAAAAACAGAATAGATTTCAGTTTTACCTTGGAAAAAAAAAATCAATTATATTATTTGGCTGAATAGAATTAGAAAAAACTGCGGGTGTATTGCTAAATATTCTAAATACTTTGCTACGCCATCAATAAGTTTTTTAAAATTGCCGGAAATGAATTGATTCGACCACTAAGCCAAAGAAGCCTCAAAGGCAAATATTACATAGAAAATATGAATTGTCAAATTCTTTCCAATAAAAATATTTGGAAAAAAAATCAATTATCGAAAAAATTTTATGGAGTAGTAAAAACTGATTGACTAATTAATTGATTTAATTAATTAATTTTTAGAAACATTGGTGATATGCAACATTTTCTTTGAAAATCCTTGATGAGTTGAGTTGTATGTTGTTGCTCCAAAAGAAGGCACGGATAAGAGCCTTATTCCTTAGTGAAAGTAAACCCATCATTAAAAGGGAAACTTGGTTTGTTCTGTGGCTCTACTGGTAACTAAAAATATAGCTGACAAAGGAAGATTTTCGCTAAAATATTTTGCTTTGCCTACATATCATCGTGATAAGAATAGAAACTATAGTGCATAAACAAAATTTAACATTCATTAACTACTTTTCTTGCCATTTTGAATTGAAAATAATAAGCTGATGCCATTTAAATTGAATCGAATTCTTTTCTTTTCCCTTGCTAAGCTATTTAAATAAAATTGCTTGCTTATATTAAGCTATTTTAAGTAAAATCATCGTCTTTTTCTCACTTTCAAGTGCCATCGATTGTGTATTAATTTCACATGAATTTGATGGCTTCACACGAAATAAAAGCTGACTGACTTCACTTCGAAATATCTATTTCCTCTTGTTTATTTTCCATATTTTCTTATACATTCATGCACACACATTTATACAAATATAATATAATTTAAGATTTTAATGTTGAACGAAGATCGTTTCGTGACTAAACTGTTTATCATTAAAATATCTATCATCTATCATTTTCGTGATCGAATATCAATTTTTAACTCTCTCTTTTAATCTTATTTTAATTTATATTTTATTATAAATTATTTCATTGCTGTTCTCTGTTTTATTTCTCACTTATAATTTATTTGCTTAAATTTTGTCAAATCTTTTGTGGTCGATTTTTTCGAATAATTCAGATATAATTTCATTTTATTGATTTCTAATGATACAAAAGGGTATTAAAAGTGGTTAACAAATATCAAATCCATGTTGAAATAGGATAATGGAGTGCTAAGTTTCGACTTCATCATAGGTTCGATCTTTGTTGGTAATAAATGTACTATTTAAACATAATTCCGGTGGCTCTACCATTACTTCTTTCTTAAATGAAGAACTTCCAGTCAGGAACCAGCCAGTAGGGCGAATTAGAATTAAAATTGCTTTTAGAAGAAAATCTATATAGTTCCACAAAATTTGCGTGATATCGTACACATAGAATAAATAGAAAGCTCATGCTGTAATTCTTATTTTTTCTCGTTCTTCTTTATTATGTTAGTTTTGAGGAATTTTAGCACTGGATTGAAGGAGACTTCGCAAATTTTGATAAAAAAAGTTCTATGTTCTTTGTTATTTCTATGTTCTTTCGTATTTTTTCAGAAACTGTATTCCCATTTTCGTGTTATCAACTTTATAATTTTTGCTTCAAAGTGTTGTTTTTCTTTACTAAAGACTTGGCATAGATTTTTAATCGACACCATGCTATTTTATATCTTCTCATGAGAAGAAAAACAAAACGGCAAAACTGTCGGCCTCAGATTTGCAATTCTTGTCCAATGATTAACATTTACTTTCCTGATCAGCCCACATTTTTTTCTGCCTTATTTTTTCGTTTCATTTAACTACTTATTTCTTCTTTTATCGTTTCTGTACGTGTTATCTTTTTTATCAAAAAAGGCAGAATTATTAATGCAAATGTATTCGATTTTGGAAGATTTCTTAATTTCTCAATTGTTTTTAGTTTGATGCTACTAAAAAATGCTAAATTTAACTATTTCGTTATCTCCAATAGATGTTAAAAAATTCTATTATCTTATTGGAATATCAGAAATGTAAAAATAAAAAATAAAAATTATTCGCATAATACAATTAAGTGGTTAGCGATAGTGCGTACCAACTGTGACTAGGAAAGTCTACTGGCTGTT